GATGTGACTGCATACGACATGTATCCCTATGGAGAAGTTTTTAAAATGATCTTAACACAATGCAGGTTGATGAGTAGTCCTTCAGTCAGATTATCTAAATGATGGTCATGCTAACCCATGGCATGCATAGGAAAGCTTTTTATCAGAACCCAGGAGAGTAGTGGAATTTTTTTTCAAAAGTTTTGGGGGAAGTTTGGGTCAGGCAATCAACTCTAACTCTGGAGCTGTTTTCACTTTTGCATTCCTGAAAAATGTGTGGAGTCCGCTCTCTGTCGCTATAATGTGGATATTTGGCTTTATATCAATGCTACGTGCAGTTTGACAGACTCACAATATGAACAAAAGAGCAGAGAGGAACATACTGGAGAACAGAAAACAGAATTCAGCAGTTTTATTATGTGCACAGAGATCATAGTGGTCCCGAGCAGACAGTTTATGTAGTCGTGAACAGATAGCATTGGAATAAACATCAGCACCCCCTCACACTCGCTCCAGGTGAACTCTCCTCATTGTAATTTCTGCAGGAGGGTGCGTTGACAGGAGAAACTCCGGATGAAGTCCAAGTGAAAAAGTCAGCTGTTTGCGTTCACACATGCAGCGCAACCCGAAAAAGTTCAGGAGTTTTGCAATGTTATGTAGATTTGCAAACATTAGGAGACAATCTAAGATCTGTACTCATAGAAATGTCAGAAAGAGTTTAGAAACAAATGGGGACGAGGTTTCTGTGTTAGGCAGGGTGAAACACATCTCCACCTGGTAGAGTCTGAAAATAACTCACCCTTCTTACTGAATGAGCAACTTTCCTTTAATGTCAAACTATTCTGTTGAGCTAACTGATCCAAATCAATCTGGTATATAAACATCTGTTCTCACTCCTCACTCTTGACTTTTCACCCTCAGTTGATCTGGAGGACGAAGACCTGGATGACATCATGAACAACAACGGCCAGTGTCCTGTCTCCCTGTCCCCCATCTCCTAAACTTCACCGAGAAGTGCCAAAAAAACAACAACAACACAACCCAAGAAAACCCCATCCCCTGGGACGCCAAAAACTCCCCCCCTCCCCTGTCAGCCACCTCTAGGCCTTGAGCGTGTGACGTGTCCTAAAAGAAGCCTCCGATGGCTCGACGAGGCACTTAGCGCCGGCTGAAGCTCTTACTGTACATAGTGTTTATTATTTAACTTAACTTTCAGACTGTGAATGATATGTATCGCATCGCTCTCTACTCTATACCTCGGTAGGCAGTAGGACATCAGGAGAAAGTGTCTGTATGTTTTTGGAAGCTTCTAACAAGGGCTACGTTTCTAAAGTTGCACTAGAACGAGTTTTTTTTTTGTTCCGATATGAGGAAACACGCTGCCTGTGAATGTGTCCCACACACAGGTGGAAACTTCTTTAAGCTTTTTTTGGTTGTGCAATGACTATCACTCTTTTTCCTCTCACACTGATGATGCAAGCGGTGTCCTATTAACCAATGGATGAACGCTCGCTATACAACACAGTTAAAGGAGAACTACTACTGCGTAATTTATTTATTGTTCGAAAAAAAAAAAACTGAGATTTTTTTGTTGTGCTGTTATGGCTTCTACGTGTTTTTTAACGCTCTGAAAAATCTCTAAAAAAAAAAAAAAAAAAAAACGAGAATTTTTTATTTTCTTTCCAAACGGTGCACTTTTGTGGGAATGCTTGTTATGTGCAGTGATATGTTGCAGAATTCTATGCATGGAGTCTGTGCAAGCATCAAGACACGTAACTGGTATCCTGCTTTTTTTTTTTTTAAAGGGCTATGTAGAAGTATTTTCCCGCCACAGCAACCTCTCGAGATTTGCCGTTTTTTTTTTCTGAATCTCGGCGTCAGACTCGGTGGTTAAAATACCGTATAAAGGATCACAGATGAGAGGGTTTTTGGCCTGTGATGAATGTGTGACATAAGGCATACACAGTCCGAAATGTGTTAATTGAATTGCCAAATATTACTGGATGCTATGCCAGGTGGATTATTTAAAAGCGTTTCTGATTGGCCGACAGACGCGTCATAAGAATGTTACTCGTTTTGTATTTCTTTACACCAGGAATCTGCTTGGGGAAAAAAAAAACAACCCAGATGAAGTCATGTTGTTTCTCAAGCTCAGACGGACTCTGACATAATATCAGGCTTCACTTTGGAAATGACAGTATGTCATTATGAGAGCTTTACACTGCGGTTTGTGTTTTCAGTTGGTGGAAGATGTGCAGTGGTTACTTTTTGAAAACGACATGTTGTCTCATGCTGACATCATGTTACTTAACAGTAGTTGGCTGTGAAACTGTTTTTTTCTGGGTTCACTTTTGGATTCATGTCGTGTCGTTGAAGCGTCACATTTCACAGATGTGTTCAGGTTTTTTGTGGTTGAACATTTTGCATGGAAATGGTCGACTGTTCACAATGCATCTCTGGAAATAAAACAATGAGTCTTTTCTCTTTTCTGTACCCCGAATCTGTCGTGATTTCAACGTGTTTTCACTCTTATCGATGCACGTTTTCCATATTTTTTATCTCCACACATTCCTCTTGTAAATGAAACAGCTTTAATAGAAATGGTAAATGGACTTACTGCTGACTACTCAAAGCGCTTTCACACCACAACTTAGGGTTAAGTGTCCAAGGACACATGGGACATGTGGCTGCAGGAGCTGGGAATCGAACCAACGAAACATCCGGTTTAGAGACGACCGACTCTACCAACTGAGCCACATCCACAAAGAGTAGTAGGTTTATGGAGCATTACACGACACAAATTCAGATGTCTAAAGAGTCTTTTTGGCAATAACAAATCCCATTGATAAGCTGATGACGACAAAGCAGCAGGAACAACTTGAGGTTAAGTGTCTCGCCCAAGGACTCATCGGACATGTGGCTGCAGGAGCTGGAGATCAAACGCTTAAAAGACGACCGACTCAACCACCTGAGCCACATCCACAAAGAGTAGTAGGTTTATGGTGCATAACACGACCTGAGTACAGATTTCAAAAAGAGTCTTTTAGTCGATATTCTTGTAACCTAAGAAACAATAACCGTTGTGCTGACTCAGCAGTTTTGCATTGATAGATATACAACATAATTCATTTTTGAGAAGAGGTAATGCTAGAGTAAAAAGAATGAATTTAATCAGAAAATTACGAACTGCAGCTGTCCCTTCAAAATAAAATAGCCTCACTGGGGGTCAGGCTGAGATTCAGTTTGTGGAGTTTGAAGCCGGTCATAACTTTGCTCTGTGTACAATGACGCAGCACATCTTACTAGAGAGCACCGTTTTTACAGCTTTAAAGTGTAAGTGTTTGAGAGTCATTTTAATTTATAGACAGTGTTTCCAACTTGACTGTTCTCTGAAACTTGAGTAATAAAAGGAAAAGTAAGCTGAAGTGACCCTATGTCTGTGTTTTACTGTAGCAATGAGTCAATCAGTCTATTTGTAAAGGGAACATTCATAACTAATGTTATCTCAAGACACTTTACAATAGCAGGTCTAGACCTTACTCTTTATGAGCATGGCAGAAAGTAATATTTATCAAAGTTACAGTGGCAAGAAAAACGTCCTTTAAAGAGGAAGAACCAGACTCATGATGATCAGCTGCTGAAACTGTGTCAGGCTCGGAAACTGATAGGCGGAGACGCAGACGGATAGAGACAGACAGAGTAACAAAAAACAATGATGAATACAAAAGATTTATAGCTACAATATCAGTTAGAAAAATGTGTAGTATTAGCAGAAACAACAAAGATAATAGACTGACCAGTCTGATGTTAACATAAACAACTATACTGACAATGACATGGGGAGCACTGATTATGTTAACATGTACATGTGAGGGACAGGTACATGTGAGGGACAGGTACAGGTGAGGGACAGGTACATGTGAGGGACAGGTACATGTGAGGGACAGGTACATGTGAGGGACAGGTACATGTGAGGGACAGGTACAGGTGAGGGACAGGTACATGTGAGGGACAGGTACATGTGAGGGACAGGTACATGTGAGGGACAGGTACAGGTGAGGGACAGGTACATGTGAGGGACATGTACAGGTGAGGGACAGGTACATGTGAGGGACAGGTACAGGTGAGGGACAGGAACAGGTGAGGGACATGTACAGGTGAGGGACAGGTACATGTGAGGGACAGGAACAGGTGAGGGACAGGTACAGGTGAGGGACAGGTACAGGTGAGGGACAGGAACAGGTGAGGGACAGGTACAGGTGAGGGACATGTACAGGTGAGGGACAGGTACAGGTGAGGGACAGGTACATGTGAGGGACAGGTACAGGTGAGGGACAGGAACAGGTGAGGGACAGGTACAGGTGAGGGACATGTACAGGTGAGGGACATGTACAGATAAGGGACATGTACAGGTGAGGGACAGGTACAGGTGAGGGACATGTACAGATAAGGGACATGTACAGGTGAGGGACATGTACAGATAAGGGACATGTACAGGTGAGGGACAGGTACATGTGAGGGACAGGTACAGGTGAGGGACAGATACAGACATTTTGGAGTTCTACATTGTTGAAACCAGAAGCAGCACTGAAGCCAGCAGGGTCCTTACCTACATGAAGACCTGCATAAAGGAGCAGTATATAACTCTGACACCTAGTGTTTGAAATGGATACTGCAGTCAAAATTGTCTGTGTTCTACCACTGAGCGGCCCTATGTAGAGCGTAGACATTAATACATACATACATACATACATTAATCGCTGTATGCTTTAATCCCCCTGTTGTTTTTTCAAAAATAGCATCCTCTTTTTTATAATAATTTGTCTTTTTTCAACAAAAATGAGAGATCAGTCTTGTTGTTTTCTGCCACTAATAAACTACAGCAGGTGTAGAAGTACAATTTCACACTCTTTGAGTACAAACAGCCTATTCTAATATTTGAAAAATGATCTTTAATGCAAAAGAATAAAGGTTTTGATGTCACAAACAAAGTCAGTTTTCATGACTACAACACAATCCACAATGTTGCATTTTTCTTTTATTGTTAAAGTAGTTGTTGAAAATGTTAAAAACCTTAAAGTCATCTTTCATAACACCAATATTCGCTACAGTGTATAAAACTATGGCATTTAAAAAAAACAAAAAAAACAGCCCACAATGCTCATAGAAGATTAATAAAAATAGGACTTAACATCTCTGAAAGCTGGTTGAACTACCAATTATATAAAACTACACGAGAGCAAAAAAAAGCTTGTCCTACGTGTGGAAAAAATAAATAGAGGCGGCGTTGTCTCACGGTGGCTGATAAGGAGGGCTATTAAGAGCGACTGTGACTACACGATCAAATATTTCATAGGCGAGCAGGGTTTGTAACAGACGGGTGTGAAGATGGGAGGGGGTTTGTAGTGAGTGTTGTAGTAAAATGCCTGAGTGTGATCTGGTCATCCTACACACTGAGCCCCCCCCCCCCTTGTGTGTGAAGTCACACCCTGCTCATTGCAGCGTCCAAATTAGAACGAGCAACAGCTCCGATAAAACACTGTATTGTCACCCTGTGTGTCTCTGTTCCCCTGAGCCACCAGCTTAACCACCAAAGCCAAATTAATGACTTTTAATTACATGGCAAATGCTAACAGATGCTAGTTCTAACATGGAAGCGCAAATGTTGGCTGAAATCCCCCTCTTAAGCTACGATTGGAGAAGTGGCTTGTATATAATGTCATGGGATCCAATTATAATGTATTTGTGAAGATCACTTGTAAACAATTGTGGAATGTGTGGATGGGATGAGATACATCATTCATGAAACAATTGAGGTGTGCATGATATAAAGAGGTTATCAAAGGCCTGCAGGGTCAAAAAAAAAAAAAAAAAGGGTCCCATCTCAGGAGTGCTGTGCCTCTGTGTATCACATTTTCCCTAAAAGGCATCAGTTGTCTTCCTCCCTATAGTGCTGCGGAAATGGAGGTAAACTTCTTTGTCGGCTCTTGTTGGACTGCCCAGCTCTAGGGGGCGCTCTCACACGTATTCTTTAGTGCTGCTTGGCGGACCGGCACGAGAGCCAGCGATGGACGGGTACTTGGACGCGTGTTTCTTTCGTGGGCAGGAAGCGGCCAGCATGGCACCGCCCAGGACGTCTAGGAGGGCGCCCCCCCAGGCGATGAAGATGGCTGCACCAAACTCAAACCTGATGAAGAGGAGACATTGTTTACATTGTTGGAGTAGACCAATCGTACCTCTGGCACACCCTTGTTCTCATCAATTCAGTTTCAAATGTAAAATTTTAAAGTAGATTTCTGAGTCTTGCAAGACTGTAACATTTTCTGAACTGTTGCCTCTGCAAACCAGTGTCACGTGTCAATGAGACTAACTTTCTGATGTTCTCTAACTTAACATCAAGCTCTATAAGCTTTGGTCAGACCTCACTAAGTAAAAAAAGGCTAACACAACAGCTTTGTTCCATATGGGCTGGAGAAAATGTTATTTCTTGGGTCTGAAATTACATTTAGCAAGACTATTAAAAAGACACATTTAGACATTTTCAATAGTCAAAACTATACTTAAAGCCGCCATGGGCCGATTTTAACTGGTAATGAAACAAGCTGAATTTTAAAGTGATGCCGTTGCATGAACTACAAAAGCAAAAGAGACCATTATTATTTAGATTCAACATTCCTATAGAGTTATTTATCATGCCTGTAACCTCTGTCACAGGGTAGGTGTCAAATGAGCCAATTAACAGGAAAGAGAAGAAGCTGTACAAAGATGCATGTGGAGGACAAGATCAGCATAGAGGTAAGACGTGGCAGGGGGCGCCATGACACAAACCAAAGGTTCCTCAAAGGAGATTTAAATTAGAGTCATTTTTGGTCTAATATAAATGATATAAGGGTATGATATTTTATATTATTACATGCAAAAAGGTCATACATTGACAAGAATGGGACCGAACATAGAACATTAAAGGATGTATTTGACAAATTAAAGTATTCACTCTGAACCAACAAATATTCCACATATCCCTTAAGATTTGTATTTTTAAAAAGTTTAATACATTAGTTTGTGTCACCTTTAGACAGAGTCATGCTGGTTTGTTATTTAAACCTGTTTTCTACTCTTTAAGATAAGCTAATCTTAGCTACATTAGCGTTTTGTTTTGTTCATATTTATCTGACTTTTATCTATTGTAATGCTACACTAGCTGTCCTGACGGAAGGTATTTAATTACCTACTGAGCGTTGTTTCTGCTGTTTTGACTTTTTATGCTAAGCTAGTCGTCTGATTTAACCCTTTGATTGCAAAGGAATGAGACATTATCTAAATATGTAACTAAAAAAGTTATTTATGTACATTACTCATGTAGCATGTTTTTTTTTTTTTTACTTACTTGGTGTTGACTGGAGTGTATGGATTATAGAAAGCCCGGATCACATTATGAGCAAACCAGGAGCACGCTACGATGGCACAGAGCCCTGAGAGGAGAGAAAGAGGACAACAAAAGATCAATCAGTCCATCAGTAAAGCATTAGAGAGTAGTAATGCCTTTTATCTTCTGTATGTGCACCAGGCGGTTTGCTGACTTCAGCACAATTAGCTTTTAGTGTTTCTGTTCTTTTCAGAGGCAGTTAGACTTCTTTTGTTAGCTGCGGCGCCAGGAGTACTGGACTAAACACCCCTGGAGCAGAGGAGTGGGAGGAAGGCTTTCTGGACGAGGGATCAAACCTCCTCCTACTTACTGTATCATGTCCATGAGATGAGCATGGCTGGTTTGGATATAAAAAAAAGCCTGTATTCATTATCATGGGTCCCAGAGAGGACAAGCTAACTCCCACCCCCTCAGCCAACATGTGTAACAACACCATTAAGTTCAACTTTGTGCTTTTGAGAAACTTCTCTGGTACAATTTTCCAAAAGTCCATAAAGTCAACTAAGCAGAGTAGAAGAGAAGATAATATTTCTTAAGTGAAGCAGCAGCTTTAAGGACATTTTGAATTGTCCATCACATACATTTCCATGTCCCTTCAGAGGAAGTTATCATTTAGGTGTTCTGTTTACCTTCCTAAATAGCTCCATCATCCAATTTGTGTGTGGTTAATACCTGCAATTTTTGATGTTTATTTAGTGTTAGTAAGCTCATGTTCACTTGTTAAAACTCCGAGCTCAGGAAAGATTTCACCAACTTCTCATTATCATGTGAACAATTTCCAAAGACATGTAAGCATGCAGACATTTGCATTGAACGCAGTAAATGAAATAAGATATTCTTGTTTTAAAGTTACAAGTGGGTCAAACACTTGAAACATCATGGAACCAAGTGCTCATATTTCAGTTGATGGCCAGCGTTTAAAACTGGTTCAAAAAGGGACGTTTTCACCGACTATTTAAAGACAGAAAACATTTAACTAGGAGATCTGCTTGTCCCACATTTACACACATAAGTAACCAGTGATTCTCAAGTTGTACCCCAAATATTTTTCAAGTGATTGAATTGATTAGAGCTGAATTTAGGGACAGTATGAAAGGTGAGAAAAGTATGAAACCCCCCCCCCCAAAAAAAACAGAGGCACATAAACTCAGACAATAGAAACAACAAATACTGTGAACAACATTGAATACGTAAATAAAAGAGTTCATAGTAAGTCCACCGCTCCCCACCTTCTTGTACCAAGTCGTTTCAAACCTCTTTCCCTGCTGTCAGATCATTTATCAATTAAATTAAAACTCTTTCTCTCTGTTAGTCGGAGCTGCACAGATTAAGTACCTGCATATGTGAAGTCTTATTTCTTCTTCTGTGGAGAAAGTTTGAAACTGCCCTCTTTAAAATGCCTCTTCGCCACATTTATAATTTTTGTATGAATAATAGAATGCACTGATGTTAAGTCTTTGTCAAGGCAGGATTACACCAACATCTGGAGTCAGGGCACTACGATCATCGTTTCCACTCACTGGGAAGCCGTTTAAAAGCCTTGTTATCTGCTTCAACTGTTTCAAATGCAAACTGCATTGGTTAGTTCTTATTTCTAAAGGCCCTGACACACCAAGGAGATTGTCTACCGTCGGTCCTTGTTGGACTGTTGGTGAGCGGTCGTCGCCCTAGTTTTTGAGGTGTGTCTAGCTCCGTGGCTTCCCGTCGGCACTCGTCTGCCTTTTTTGGGCCGATTCGACATGTTGAATCGGCGGTCAGTGAGAGGGATCTCTCTGATTGGCTGTTGGGAGGTTTCATTTCTCTCCAGCTCTCCTCTTAGGTTTAGTAAAGCCCCTTGAGCATGCTGCTGTAGTCTCCATGCTTTCACCCATTAGTGTGGTTTCTCCTTATTTGTCTCCTCCTCCTCTTCTTTTCTTTTTCCACTAAAAGATCAAGAGCTGACAACGCCAGCGCCATTTTCTACTTTTTATCAGACATTATTCTCCATTAGTAGTCTACCTATAATACGAGTTGTGACCGACAGCGGTGTGAAAATTGTCTTCTCGCATCATGACAACAGACTACCACCCCCTGCTGGAATGAAGAGTAATTTCCTGCCATGCATGTGCAGAAAGAACTTTGTGGTTGGCCGTCGGCTGTAGTCTTTGTGGTTTACTCTAGTGCAACTTTTTGGCCAAGACAAACGGCAACAGGAGGCGACCCCACAGGTGGCCTTCGTCACCACTAGTTCTTTGCCGTCTGCTTCGTGTGTCAGGGCCTTTAATGAAATCAGAATCATCTTGGGCGTGGCTTAGACATGGATGAGTCCAGAGGCTTCAGGTGCAAACATGTTTTGGTGTAACACTTGTATGTAGGGAGGTGATTCTTGGCATGACAATAGCTAAATGCCAGAGATCCTCATCTTCCTGTATCTCCCTCCAGTCCAGTTTTCAAGCCCAACAGAGTTCTGACAGACCGCTGATCATCATGAGTCTGGTCTTGCTCGAGGTTTCTGCCACTGACTTTGCTAAAAGTTGCTTAGGGCTCATGATGGATTAACGTTGGGTCTTTGTAGATAACAACAATGAGTAAGGTCTTTTACTTGCTCAAGTGTCTTAAGGTGACATTTGTTATGAATTGGTGCTGGACAAATAAAGATTGATCAGGAAGTGAATAGGAAGGGCTTCAATGAAACTTCACATGACATGATAATGGTTGAATTAGGATCATATGCATCCTCACCTCCCACTAGCAGGATGATGCCTCCTGTCATTGCAATGCGGGACTTTCTTAGTTTGTCACTACCTGCACAGGTGGTGCACTTCATCCCCATGCAGGCCACACCCAGACCTGCGAGGGACACGATGATACCGACGATCATCAAGGCTCGAGTCGCCTGGAGAGAACCTGTGGCAGACGGAAAGGAGAGAAACAAATAAAGTATGAGAAGAGTGCAGGACAAATGTGTTGCCTCAGTCGGGCTGGGACCTCATGGAGGGTGTTTTTGGTTTTCTGGAATGTAGGAGTGAAGCTCAGAAAGGTAAAACATCAAAAAAGCAGTTTGTGAAATCCACAAAGAGAATATAAAGTCAGGTAATCAATCCAACATTAAATAGGAAATGATGAGGGGAGACTAATAAAGCCATCTCGACCTATCAGAGAGGCTTTATGTGTGTGTCCAGAGGTTGTGAATTACACTCTCATGAGAGCGCCAGGACATTTTAATGTGAGCTTTTTCCTGGAAGAGAAACCATGGGATACACAGAGACACACATCAGCGCACACAAACAAAGACAAAAAACCACTCTTTCTTTCTCTCACTCTCACTCCCAACTGTTGTTGTGAGGGGCCTGCCCGGCTGAAACCCTACTGTAAGGACCCTCATCTATCAGTGACCCCCCTCCCCTCACACTATAAACCTATCACAGGGGCAGCCCCCCACCCCCCCTCTCTCTCTCTTCCCCGCTATCCACCTAGAACCAGTCTGTGCCAGTCTAGGCCATCCCTGCCCAGCCCAAACAAACAAAACCCTCCAGCACAGTAAGAGAGGGATGGAGGGATGGAGGGATGGGGAGAGAGAGGCAGAGGAGAAGAAGTTGTAGAGGAGAGGGAGAGAAAAAATAGAAGGGGTGGGGGGGGGCTGGTGAGTCTACAAAGAAGGGAAACAGTAGAGTGGATTATATAGTAAGTTCAGAGAGATACAGTGTATCCTGTCCATCATACTGGTTGCATTAGTTCAACAGAAACATCTATGGGAGCTCTGACGTCGATTAAAACACCTGCTGCCTTTCACTGAGAAGATCAGAAACACACTAAAGAAAGTCATGTGTTTGGATATGAACACTTTCCTAGTCTCTGACTCAGTTTTCTGATCAGAAATAGAGCTCCTTCCCTTTGCATCTGATTTGTACTGGTGTTATTGTAATAATGGTTGTTGTCAGCAGGGGTGGGAATCGCAGGGTCACTCATGATTCAAAAGTAGAGGATACAATACGATTCGATACAAAAATATATGAAGATACCATATGAAGATATGATATGATAAGATTTGAGACAATGGGATATGATACCATATGTGATGCCTGGCTGAAAGTAACAATAAAAATATCGCCATACAGCAATCTGGGATTTTTGACACTGAAAATAAAATGCTTTTTTGGCTAGTTATGACATACGACTGCTGATAGCAATAAACGTATTCCTAGCTATCATTATGTTAGCAAGCAGAGTTACTACAGTAGAATCTACGTCGCTAGAGAACGCTAAGGTTGCTAACGTTAGCTTATTGTAAAAAAAAAAAACGGTAATCAAATGTTTAACTTGAAATATGACCACGTTTTCCCTTTTGCATTTTACCTGTGCATGTTTTTTTTTGTTTTTCATCCAGCAAGATGCGATTGAATCGTACTGGTTTTTCAGATAGTAAAAGACTTACTGTGGGTTTACCAATAACTTTCTGTTTGTGTCTCAAATGTATGTACTATTTACTGGTTTTTTTATGGTTCTTACAAAGAAAATACATTAAATTGGGCTTTTGGGTGACACCACAGTAGGAAACTAAGGTTATTTTTTCCTAGTTAGTAATTCTCTCTCTTAATGTTGTATCGGTTACACTACAGTCACACGTTATAGTAGCCTGAAAGTTAGTTTTTATAGACTGGTTGTAACTTTCCTTGAATACTTGAAAATCTCTTGAATGTCATTTTGAGAGGCTGAAAGTCGGCCGGTTTCTTGCAGTCATCTCTGCACGCAGGGCAGATGACTTTAATAACAACATGTATTCAAACCAGAGTTCCCAATATGCAATATGATCTACACTGTGTGCTGGGTGATGTGCATGAGCTGTTGAGATGCCTGTACTGCTGCAGAGGAGTTACCATGGTGACCTTTCCTGTTAAAATCTGACAATAATTATCCTGGCAGCACCTGGTAATAAGTAAAGTGTAGTTTTATTTAAGGGTTATTTAACAGGAAACAAATAGCTCCTGCAGAATCATAAAGGAATATAAAGTATCACTCAGAGTTGAATACCTCTGCACATGACTGTTTGTCCTGTAGTCATCCATCCAGGAGAATTAGCTTTTAGTTAAGGCACCATGTAGTCTACTGTGTGTGTGTCGAGGTGTGAAGAAATGTTTAAAAGGAGGGGTGGGAGGGTTTCTCAGAATGCAACAATGTGAGGGTTGAGGTTTCTAAGAAATACTGAAAAGGAATAAGATGAATCTTTTCAAACTCTTTCACCTGGGACAGCTCAGTGTCCGACGAGACACTGTTCCACTGCAGTGACAGATTACAGTGATTACATGAGGTTAGTAATTATGGCCTGATGAGCCTGCCATACACTGAGGTATCAAAGTGATACAAGTGTGGTCATTTGAGGTCTCTAACAGGTGAGGCAGCAGGTGGTGAAGCTCAACAAGAGACTTAGTGAAGATATAAGCTTAGAGGATCCTCTTTTAGTGATGAGTGACACTTTATAACATATAACGTCCACACCTGGTGAAGTAGAATACTTACTGTCCAGCTGCAGGATGGAGTCGTAGATTTTACACTGCAGCTGCCCGGTGCTCTGAAAGGCGCAGGACATCCACAGTCCCTGGTACATGGCCACAGCTGTGATGATGTTGTCCCCGATGTAGGCTGACATCTTCCACTGCGGTAAAATAGTCCCGAAGATCAACCCAACGATGCCGATTAGCGAGAGGAAAAATCCAAGCAGCTGGATCCCGGAGTTAGCCATCGTTGTTTTCTACCTTTACTTTTTGTGGTCCCCGTGCACTCTCCTCTCCTCTTCTGCAAACTGCAAAACTTAAATCTATTAATAAAGATCCGGTGGCTGTTCGTACTTATTGCACTCAAAGCTGCTCCGGAGTTGTGTATCGGGGGTCCTCCTCACGCGGGGATGGGCATCAGAGATGTGGCTGATGGTGTCAAGTGGGTGTGTAAATTCTGCTGCCTGCTGATGCATGGAGATGCGATCTCCTGAGGTCGCTGCTGGGAAATGTCCCCTCTGCTTCCAGCAAAGCAACAGGTTGTCCGTCCACTCAACACTTCAGCACTTCACCATTTTCAAACCTTTTTCTACCGTCAAGTGCTGAAGCTTTAAAAAAACTACAAATCTTTAGTAAGAGTTTAAACAAAAGCTTCTGCGTCTGAGAGAAACCCACCAGGGTCCAATCAACTTCAAAGATGGGCAAAAATGTTTTTTTTTGTTCTTTATGCGTCACAGTTACTTTAATGGATAATACTTTATGACATCCATAATCAACTGTAAATTGATAGTTTACTTTGTTAAATACTTATTTTACTAGTTCATTTTGGTTTGTGTCATGCACAATCATTAGTTTATAAATTATATATTGTATTATAACTGATATCGATCACATTTAACTGAGTTTCTGAACAACATCGAGCAGCCACACTGATTATAATAATACATAATTATTAAACACTAAACAAAACATTTGAACAACAAATATTTGTCAAGATCGCCCACAACCATAAATATATCAGGCAGAACATTCACAGCTAGATGTGTCCACCTCCAAATCAGAGTATATAAGTATAGAGTAGAGGTTCTCAACTGGTGGGTCGCAACCCAAAAGTGGGTTGTGGAGATGCTTTCAGTGGGTCACGACCAAGCGGCAACTTTCGGTCTTGAAAAAGGAAGCCAATGTGGGAGTGCAAAAACCTTCAGTTATTAAAAGTGTCTGCTTGAGGTTGGCTGCAGAAACACCAGAAGTCACATACACATGACAAAGCTGTTTCTACTAGAAATGAACACGTTTACAGCCTGGTAGAAAAAATACAATAGGTCTGAATAGTTATTGTCATCATGGGCACACACTGTACAAGGGGTGGATTAAAAAAAAGGCTCTGTTTTGATTTTGAATGCGATAAGTGTTATCCATAGATAGGCTCTTAGCTGACATGATTGACAGGTGGGCGCAATGAGGTTTAAAACCCGCCTCAGCTCCAGCTCTCAGCCTGTCGTTAGGTTGACTGAAAGTTAGACTGAGACAGGATTTCCAACATGGCGGCTGCTGTCGATGAGCCTCCAGAGCCCCCTGCAGGAACAGATGGCTGACATCACTCAGGCTTCATCCATTCATATTAACAGTCTCTGATCACGACACACTTTTGCCTGGAAAAATTTTAGTCAAAAAGTCTATGAATCGCTTTCCCTCAGACATCAGTTTAATTTACTACCCTCTGAAGTCACTAAGGACAAAAACGTTCACTTCCAAAAAACTGCTATAAAAATAGAACAGATTGATATTTTTTTCTCCTTTTTTCTGCATAAATCCCTTTAACAACTTCAGCCCTGCTCAAAATTATCAAACATTCAATCATTTTTAGGAATTTAACCTTTTAAAAGCCAGTTTGATTACATGATTCTGGCATTTAAAGGGTTAAATAAATTCCTGATAATTATTCAATATTTGACTTAAGAGGGTAGTAAACATGTTTCTCAGTGTTCTATTGATCTATTAAAAAATAAATAATTTGCATTCCAAAATGTGTCAAGAGAGATTCTTTCTTACAAAAAATGTGTGTCATACGCACTAACACAGACAAAATGATGACCAGATGAAGAGGAAACATTTGACCAAATGGACAAAAATGTCCATAATGATGCATGAGGGTTAAACATTTTTGTAAATGTTTTTTCCATTTCTGTTCTGACATGTTTTGTACCTTCTAAAGTTCAAACTGCACAATTATTATTTATTTCTTTAAGATTTATTTTTGGGCTTTTTGTGCCTTTAATGTAGAGATAGGACAGTGGGTAGATTCAGAAATCAGGGAGAGAGAGAGAGAGAGAGAGAGAGAGAGAGTGGGGAATGACATGCATGCATGTACATCTACATACATGGGACGCGCACTGGTTAAAAAATTTTGTAAATATCGAAATTGATTTTTCATGAAGGATTTAGCGGTGGATCCTGAGGCTAGACCAGTTCAAAACCACTGGGATAGATAGTTTCAATAAATACCCCACTTTGATCTCGTTAACTTTAATCTAGTTAACATTATTGTTTCCTTATTGATGAACAATGAGCAGGGGTTAAAGTTTTTTTCATTTCTTTTCCACTTAAACCAACCAAAATGAGCGACCAGGAAACATAAAAAGTGTTAAGATATCCCAGCTGAAACATCGCTTTGCTTAACCGTCACTTATGGATTTGACCTTTAAGCTCTTTATTTGTTTACGTTTTATCTTCTGCTTTGGCCTAGAAATCCTGTCTACACTGTAAATACAGTCCACATACACAGACTGACCCAGATTGATGCTATAAGTCAGGAAGCTGTCACTGTACAATGTAGACTAAACCCCTTCCCTCCTGGTTCCTCAGATCACCAACCACCAGCTCCGGGCAGATTCATGACTCCCTGCTGCATCTGCAATGGTAATGAGTTCAACTTCAGGGTCAGTATGGGAAGGCAAAATGTTGAAAACATAAAAAGAAAGTTGAAGATGTATTTTTAAAAAAATGCATTAAAGCAGCTGGAGGAGCTATGAAAACTGAACTTAGTCAGAGGGACTGTTTTGTTTCACGCAGTTGACCTGTTAGCTAGTTTTAGTACCAGGAGCTTTCATTATGATGTCGATTGAAATAAATGTTCATTTCAAAAGAGGAAATTTTTTTGTTTCTGGCATTTTGTTCAAAAGTAATATCAAGTCCCAATCGATGGCGGTCTCCATGCTGGAAACCCTGTTTCAGCCAAACGACAGGCTGAGAGCTGAGGCGGGTTTTAAGCCTCTTGAAGAACCGTTACATGGCGCCCCAGCCTGTCAATCAGGTCATCTACGAGCCTTATTAATATAGTTTGACAACATGTTAAATGTATAACAGTACAGTAACTTTTATTTGTATGTAACTAGTTGGCTGGTTGGTGAGCGCCACCATTGGATAGTCTGACAAGAACAATGCATTTTAGGGCGGTTTAGTACCCCCAGTGAACTCTGATCATACTTTAAAAAGTTTGGCAAATCTAGTTTACCTCCGGTCATTTCTCAAATACACAAAGTTGCATATTGTGATTTCTGAACGAACTACACACTCAATGTGACGTCACATGAATTTCTTAGGATGAATAGAAAAAAAGGGTTTTGGACACGGCAAGAAAGAAGAAGAAAGTGAAAAACTGAGGAGAAAAAAAGGAGACAGAGAAGAAGAAAAGAAAAGAAGCAACAAAGCTGCTACAGTCAATGCTAATGCACAACATCCGATAATGCAAAGCTGTGCAGCTGTGGCGCAGTGGGTAGAGTCGTCGTCTCTCAACCTGAAGGTCGTGGGTCAGATCCCCAGCTCCTGCAACTACATGTCTGATGTGTCCTTGGGCAAGACATTAAAGCCTGAATTGTATGAATGGGATTAGTTACTTCTGATGGTCTCACTACATAGAAACCTCTACCATCAGTGTGTGAATGTGTAGGTGTGACCTGCAGTGTGAAACTGTTTGAATAGTCAGAAGACGAAAGCACTCTATAAGCTCAAGTCCATTTACCATGAACAATAAGTAATAATGCAAAGTTCTCATTTCTAGATGTCTGCTTTGCCTTGTAGTCGACTTTGGATATGCAGACTTCAAGCCTTCTATACAAACTGTGCTCTAGTTCAGTGGTTCTCAACTGGTGGGTTGGGACCCAGAGGTGGATCGCGGAGCCATTTTCAGTGTGCCTGGAAAAAAACTTGTGTAAAAAAGTCTCTGAAGTGCTTTTTAAACATTTTGTTCTGTTCAGTTTCTTGCTTTTGTCACACGTTTTGTACCGACTCACAATTTTTCAAAAAATATCAGAAAATGTGGTTCTCGATTATCCACGGAGGAGTTGGTGGTGGGTCCTGAGGCTAAGACGAGTAGAGAAACCTCTGCTCTAGTTAATCCTTAAATCAGATCAGTAATGACTTGTTAGACTATATGATGTAACTTCCATTAGGTGGATTAGCATGCAGATTGTCTCCCTGTCCTGCAGTGAATGGACAAACCCAGCAGACAATGGGAGGCCTTGTTCATATCAGTGGTCAGCAGTTTGTGTGACTTCACACTGTGGTTGAACAAAAGAGCTACAGCAATGTGAGAGGAAGTAATAACCTATAATCCTGGAGGAAGTCGTCCCCACTGCCAGGTTCATGGAAATGTGCTCACCTACTGGCTGGATTACAGATTTTTAATGGAATAAAGCTTTACTTTCTCTTCCCTTTTCCAGCGTTCTTGAACTCTCATTCTCTCACGTTCCTGCCCTTTCCTTCGTCCCCTTCCACCCACGTCTTCTCTTGCTATTACTCTTTTTCCTCCTGTACTGTACCCAGGCCTCAAGTCTGAGCTGCTCAGGCCAACAAATGCCTCATTGTCGCTGGGGAGGAATGACCCCACAGCTCAAGGAATGTGTTTGACTTTGATAGCAGAAGTTGATGAAGACGTTTGTATGGGGGCGGCTCATTGGTTGAAAGAGTTGATGGAAGAAAAAAGATGAAGGGAATGCAACGAGGATAAATTTATGAAGGTACAAAAGGTGATAAAAAAAGAGCTGGCCGAGATGTAGAAGAAGAAGATCAGGGGGCCAGCCTCGAGCCTACCAGTGCTGTTGCCACTAGCAACCTGATTTATCTGATGTCCTCTCGGCTGCGTTTCCACCGACAACCTGGACTCTCACAGAACATAAAAAAGAACATTGCTCTTTCACCCCCTCTGCTTTCCTCTTCTTTTCTTGTAAACTACTTTTTTTAAAAGCGTAAACACACATTTGTCTCGGGCGGTTTATCCGTTGTCCAACGCTCAATAGGCAGCGAAAAAGAAAACATCTAAATCAGCCTCCAAAGGAGGGGCACGGACAACATTCTCCCGTGGGGGATCTCCCCTCCCCGTTCCCGAGGCCTCCTCTGGATCTGAAGTGAGCAAGTGGAATGAGTGAGGCGCTCTAAGTGCGCCCTGGAAGTCACTGAGGCATTAGCAATAAAACTCGCTGGGCCCGTGTTTTAGTTTCCCTGAAAAGCTCAGAATGTGACAATGAGGAGGATGGCGCCCTTCTCTACATGTCCCTGTGTCTCCACCACCTCAGTCTTCTTATGCAACAAGACTCCACTTTTGTGCAGCAGCAGCAGGACCAACAGGACTTGTCCCCGGACTTGTGGACTCATTCTTCTGGTCTTTGCTCCAAGGCAAAGAGATAGAGAGATAGAGAGAGAGAGAGAGAGAGAGAGAGAGAGAGAGGTGTTCCTGGAGAGCTCGGCAAGAGTGCAGTGAACAAGCATATTTGGAGAGTTTGGACAAGGTGAATAAAATCACAGTCTGCAGCTCAGTGAGCATGACAGAGACCACAGTGTGATGTAGAGTGTACTATACTGTGATACAAAAGTAATCAGATATGAGGCAATGCACTGCAAAGACCTTACAAAGGTGGGTCAGCACCTATGACTAAGAAGATACAATACTTAGTTTAACAAATACTTTATAATGTTACACTCTAAAGTTCTTAATACTGTTACATTAATACATAAGGTAACATATTTTAATAATCTATATAAGCTCTTGTTTCAAACTCCAAACAGGTAGGTGCCCCGCAGTGATGGAGACATTGAGCCCTCAGTCGGTCCTCAAATAAGGAAAATTAAATCTCTGAATAACTTTTTGTCTTTTTTTTTTTTTTATCTCTGTCTGGTTGTTTATGTCAGTTTGTGGACTTTGTTTTTTTTGTCTCTCTGAAGTTGTTTTATATTTTACAATTTTTGTATTTGATGTCTCGGATTGTTTTGTCTCTTTATGATTGTTTTGTGTTTGGTTTTAACGTTTTAAAGTTATTTTTCTAATGTCTTTTAGTTCATTTGGTCTCTGTTTCTGAGTATGTACCTTTGAGGTTTTTGTCTCTTTGTTGTTGTTGTTGTTTGTTTGATGTCGACTTTTGTTTAGCTTTAAGTCTCTTTCAGGTTGTCTTCTGTCCCCATGATTTGTTTTACGTCTCGTAAGTTGTTTTCAATTTCATTGATCTGTGTGTGATGTCTCTGATTGTATTTTCTCTTTTTGGTTGTTTTTTGTGTCTCCCTCTTTTTTCTCTCCTTAAAAGCTCGACTTTCTGCATTAGAGGTCTGGATTTAAAATCTTACTTACAAAAAATGTACAAAATAAAGCAGAAAGTCAAATCTCCAGGGGGGAAAAGTTTGCACCAGTGTATGTAGCCCTTTGGCAGATATACTGTGAACAGTTATCATCTTTTCAATGTATGCTACATTACTGCCCTCTACTGGCCAAAGGCTGACATTACAAGCGTCCAGGATAATCCATCACTGTTCTTCTCAACAAAATCAAACACAAACAACTGGCTTTCTGTGTCCCTTAAACTGCACCATGTTTATAAAAGAGGCTCTTTTAAGAACAGGCCCATCACCACTTTCAAGAAACTTGTATTTGAAGGTTTGTTTTAGACTTAAATAACAAAGTTTACAACATGTTTAGACACAAAAAAACAGTGTTGCCACATATACATGTATCTTCTTAAAATCTGCCCATTGATCCTGAAATCATGAAGTTTGTGTCTCAGCAATCTGGACAACAATAGTATTCATTCATTAATGGAAAGTAGGATTGTGTAAGTGTGTTTTGGTGTGTGTATGTGTGTGTGTGTGTGTGTGTGTGTGTGTGTGTGTGTGTGTGTGTGTTTTATCTCCTATGGGAAGGGGTTGTCGGGTGTGTAGTTTAAGCTAGCGTCCAAGAACATGGCCAGGGTGCCCAGGGTGGTGATGATGACGAACAACCACAGGAAGAGGCGGTCCACCACCAGAGCGATGAACTGCCAGTCTTCTGTCATCTGGAATCAAAGCACACACACACACACACACACACACACACACACACACACACACACACAGTGTACACAGAAGCAGTCAGTGTGAGCCCTGAGTCAGCGGTGAACTGTATGTAAGCAGTGACACATGGACATTGTAGGGCATGTTTGGAACACGCTGTGCTGCACACACACTGAATAACAAGCTGTCTCTCTGATCGAGTGTGTGTCTTTGTCGTGAGCGTTCCTCACCGTGTCGTCCGTGTCTTGCCTCTTCAGCTGATCGGCCATGTATGTCACGGCGGCGATGGCGGACTTCAGGTTGGGAGGGAGGATCAGACAGAAGCTGTCAGTGTCCGGGAGCCGCTGGAGCTGCACTGTGCTCTCACATCTCCAAGACAGAGAGGCAGAGGCAGATGATTTTTAACCAGGAAATCAATTTTTTAAATCATTTTGAAACTCTTGGAAACCAACATTTGAGCAGGTTGATATTCTCTACGGTTAAAGTTCGGTTTCCAATGTATTGTCCACAATATGTTAAATTAAATTCCAGAATATATGAGTGTGATTGTGTCATATAGTAGTCACATTATTAGGTACTTGGGCAGGTCAAACCACGGCCACCTGCTGTAAAAGAACATTTGACATTTTGGAAAACACTCACTTTGTTTCTAACTTTTTCCAGTTTTTGTGCTAAACAAAATAGATCGACTAAAGAGTTTCTTAAGCGTTCCTATCAAACACTAGTTTATGTACACTCTACAGTGACTGGTGTGTCACAACCCGGCTCTTAAGGCCTGACAAAAACAATGTAAACGTACGGTACAGTTTGTATTTTATTACAAACAATTAGAAACATAAGAACCATTTACAGAGAGAGTGAGGTGTGTTTGTCAGTAAATCGGTGTGTCTGCTGTTGTGTGTGTGTGTGTGGGGTAGTTAATACTATGCTAACATAAGTTAACTACAACAAAACATGGTGCAACGAGAAGCTGTGATGATGGTGCGAGGCTGGGAGTGAATGAAAAAGTGAGAGAGATGACTGTCAGATCTTAAACAGCCTACACCAGGGAGACTGTCCAGGTCTGTCCAGGTGTGTCAGAACAACGCCCACCTGCCACCTGCGAGGACATTTAACACAGACAGAAGGGCCCAACTCAATAGCAGGCCCATCTGTCAAGAGGGTTGCACACATGACAAATGAAAACCCTAAATGATCTCTACATTGAGGGCCTCTGGTAGACATATTTTTGGCCCCCAATCTCCACACCACACCTCAGGACTTCCAGGACTGTGTCCATGCTTCGTGGTATCCCATTGTCAATTCACCAAGTGCTCTGATATGGACTTTACAACACCAAATGATACAAGTTCTGTCAGTGTTCTAACCGCAGACTTTCCTGCAAGACCTCCCCAGTGTTAATGCAAACTACTCGAAATGAGGAACTTTGCCCAACCCCGACAAAATCTAAAGAAATGTTTGTATTTATGTATTTAAAAAAAACTACAGGTGGGGCTGCCGAGGCAGGCCAAACAGCTACTATGCATCACCTGTCAATAAATTCTACCCGCCCCTAATTACGCAAATGTATGCACAACTTTAAGTCTTCATTAATGAATGTAATTATAATGTTGTACCTGTCCAGAACAAAACTGTAGTTTGAACCAGGCAGTGAACATGTTTATTTCTGTTGTATGAAAAAAGAAACAGAAAAGAGACATTTTAACTTTGGGCTTAATGGAGATTTATCGGCTTTAGTAGCCAGCCTCTAGTGGACACTTGAAGAACTGCAGTTTTTTGCACTTCAGCTTCAGCTTTGGCTTCATTTTTCAAACACAGAACATTATTTTCATATCTCAGGATATCTCTTCTCACAAGCGTCATGCTGACCTTTACCTGGGGTAAAGGACTTCACTATTTTCCCCCTGAGCTCAGATTTATGTTTTGGTGTGTCATAAGTCACTAGCGCAGCATGATTCACCTCTGCTGAAACAAACCACCGCTGACATTAGCTATCTGCTGTAGGACATTCATTAGAGAGGAAGATGTCAGTGTTGTCGCTTCATAACAAACACTTTGTCCTTGTGTGTCTCCTCTAACCACTGACAAGCACAACTTCATGTCAGCGGCCCGACAGCCACACACACTCCTCACACGGACAGGGGTGACATTGACACACTGCTGGGTCAACATTTATGTGATGCCGTGACCTCTGACCTCTTCATTCTTCCCCTCAGACAGCTGTTCCATGAAGCAAAACATATGAGCGGAGTCTTATTAACAGCGTTCCTGGAGTGCTTTCATGCCTGTGTGAATAACTCGGCAACAGCTCACTCAAAAATATATTGTTCTGGAAGTCGGGCTGAGGGGAGATCTTTGTTTTTTTTGTTCTTTAAAAAGAATTGGAAAATATTTAAATTAAAGAACTTTAACAAAAAAAGGAATAAAATATGAAGCTGTACTCACAAATGTTGAAAAATGTTAGGAAAGCTGTCCCCTGAAAATCTTCCTGAGGCTCATTCACACATGTCCTTCACAGAGCGTCAAAGTCAGATACTAAAGGTGACAATTTATGCCGATGCTACGTGAAATTGGACGTCCTATGAGTATCAACAAATGGATTAAAAGGCACAAAAAGCCCCAAAATAAATCTAAAAAAACAAAAAAAATGATGTCACAATCATACACCACAGATGAAGCAACAGGAGCAATTCAGGGTTAAAGATCATGTTTACTATTTGCTACAGGTTCCACATCAACCCTTCACTTCTCGCCTCTTGTAAAACTGTTTAGTATTAAAATGTGGAACAGAGAATCCAGGTCACACTGAAACTAAACTTAGCTTCTAAACTATTACCCTCAAGAACATATGGACACATAGATACCCCCATTAGCTGCTACGCTATGCTATCTGCTGTCACATGATTTTGGCAGCTCTGAGTTTGAATACTATGTATCGCTGACAGCCGTTTACATTACAGCCTCAGTGATCACCTCACTACAGTAACAGATGATGTACAACCTGTCAGCATGGATAATATTAAGATGAACATCAGCAACTCTCAGTGGTGATTCTAGAGTCTGTTGGGGCCCCAGATAAAAAATAATCTGACACCAGAAAAATACATAAAATAAATATGACTATTTTAATTTCCTAAATTCACATTTTTAAAAACCTTAATTTCCTTCAGTGACTTTCACTGACAAACTTCAGTTTTCAGAGCAATAATGCATGTGACAATTAGCAGCACAACAAGACTGAGGACTGTCAGATGGGGCTCCCTTAGGGAGGTTTCCTACTGTCATTGCAAACTTTGCACATTTAGAGCTAATGCTGGTTTAAAGTTTTTCAGCCCTCAGGGCCCCCATCTGACCAGGGGCCCCAAGCGGTCCCCTACCTTGCCTGTTGGCAACTTCTGATACGAGTTTGTGTGACTGCTGGAAGGGAGGGTTATGTATGGGTTGGTTTATGAATGGTAGCTTTTTGGTTAAATGGGAGGTTACCAATCAGACTTTATGTTTTTGCACATGTTACTCAGCTCTCTCCCTCTCTGTTCCTTCCTGCTCCTCTGATTGGATGATAATGGGCGTTTACTCTTCTGAGTGCGAAACCATCCAGATTTCCCCATGACCTCTACTGACCAATCGTCTCGCTGCTGTCACATTTTGAATCTGTTCTTCTCTCTGTCGTCATGAAGAAATTAAAACAAAGATCTTGCAGCCATAACTTTTCCATTATTTGGCACTCAACCAGTCAAGTCAACTCTTGAATTCAATCCAATAAAAGCTGTTGTTTCAATGCCACAGAACTATTAATGCTGTTCAGTTTTAAAGGGGAAAATTAGAACCACGTACATTCTGACACAGGACCTTTTCTGATAATCAGAGTACCTTGTAATGCATCATTAGATTATTTGGCTCGACATCAATGAGTAACCTTCTGAAGGTGCCACGGAGCAGCTGTCAGACTGACACTTCAGCTCCTGTCTGGAGACCGTGTGTGCAGTGGATGCAGGGTGTACATTGCATATGATGTGTTTTAATAAAGTGCAGAACCTCCGGCAGTCGGTGTCGGAGCAAGACGAGTTATCAGAGTCACAGGGAGGCAGCGTGACAAGACATGGCCTCCCGGACAATAAAGCAAACGACCTGAGAGTCCCTGTGGTAGAGGTTGTGTGTGTGTGTGTGTGTGTGTGTGTGTGTGTGTGTGTGTGTGTGTGTGTGTGTGCGTTCGTGTGGTCACAGCTCAGAGCAAAACTATGTGGTGCTCTACATGCTGCGTGCCATTCACATTCCACGGCTTGCATTCATTACAACAGAAACATGGAGCCTTCTCACTGTGACACAAACACGACCTGACTCAACAACATGTATTGTACTGTTGCTATATCTCTACATGTGGATACATCTCTGTTGACTGATTGATTCATAATCGACGTAGTTCTCACTCTATGTAGTCACACTGAGTGTTGATATGAAACTGTTAGTTTGAAATAAACACAAGACCCTAATGAAAGGAGAAGTGTTCAGTGAAGACACCCCAAGCTCCAGTCGTGCCCCTATATCCTACTGAGAAGTTACACAACCTACCCTATACCGCCATTAGAAGCCCAACGCACACAAACCAGCGATGCCCCCCCTCAACAGAGCCAGGCTCCGGGAAATCCAAGCTCCAGGTAGCCCTAGCACATGGCCCCTCTTGGCCCCCACAAGGACATCACCAGGGAAAAAAGTGGTAAAAGGTAAATGGCCTTGAGCTTGTATGGCGCCTTTCAAGTCTTCTGTTGTTCCTCTCTGTGTTTTAGCATCTCTGCAATGGCTCCCTGAGTGTTTTACAACTGATTTTAACATTTTTGTGATTACTCTTTCATTTTACTACTAAATGAACCAACTCGCACATTGAGATCCTCAGGCAGAGGTCTCCTGGTAGTTCCAAATTCAAAACTAAAAACTAAAGGGGATAGAGCGCGTTCGCCGTGAGGGCTCCAAGACTATGGAACGACCTGCCTGAGGAGATCAGGTCAGCCGTATCAGTCATCTCTTTTAAGTCCCTTCTGAAGACACACTTTTACCGGTGAGCCTTTCCTGATTTTAGTTGAATTTAAATTGTTACTTGAATTTAAATCCTTTAAAAGAATTGCATGTCTTTTACATTTGTTTTAAACAGATTTTTTTAAAGTGGTTATTTCTTAATCTTGCCTTGTTTATTATTCTTTGACCTGCCTGTTTTTACATTTCTTCCTGCTCTCCTTGTAAAGAACTTGTAACTTGTTTTTGAAAAGTGCTCTATAAATAAAGATTATTATTATTATTATTATGCTGACAACTCAAAGCTCTTTTACACCGCAGGTCACACCTACACATTCACACCTACACATTAACACACTGATGGCAGAGGCTGCTATGTAAAGAAAAGTAATCGCCTTTCTGTCATTTTAAAGACGATACAAATCATATAGTCTATAAAAGTGATCAGTTTAATAGTTTACAAATTGATAAAAACTCCCCAAAGCTAAAGTGATGCCTCACATTTAAAAAGCTGAAACCACTCCAAGTTCTGACCTTACTTCCATCAAAATAACCTACATGATTACTCACCTTTTAATCATTTAGTGCTTAATTGTCTTTTATCATTGAATATTTGAATTCAACAGATCATCAAACACGCAGGACAGTCTGATCAATGTGTTGTTGGATACAGCAGCTGTCTTCTGACTAACCATGGGACAGAATCACCAGATAGATACAGGGTTGGATGACACACACACACACACACACACACACACACACACACACACACACACACACACACACACACACACACACACTTCATGATGGTGCCTGATAGTGCGTCCACCATCTCTCCCACATCAAAACACCACACAATCCTCCCCTGCCCCGATCACTCAGCACTGGGCTTCCCTTCCACTCATCTGCCCACTGTCCATCGTGTACCCCTCCCCTCCTCCTCCTCTCAGTGGGATTACTCCCTGATTCCCAACCTAAACAGAGGCTTAGTGTGTGGCGACTGTGGACGGGGGTGCAGGGTTTAGCTGGGGCTGAATTTGATGCCTTTGGAACGGGATGAGAGCTGCCCAGCACCAGGCTTGTTCAGGGAACTGTGGAGCTGTTTATGATGCCAGGGGCTGGGTGGCAAGGCTGGAAGCCTACTGGCAGATTAGACAGCATGGTTGGAGAGACAGTACAAGTTTGAAGCCAGATTTTAGATTTAAATAAATATGTTGATAATCTCTCTTATTGAAAGATTTACAGTATGGTGACTCAGCCTGTGGGCAGCTCATTGAAACTTTGAGATTTACTGATCTACATTGTAAAAAACAGGATGTCCAAGTAAGTTCAAGAAGGAAACAAGGTAGTTCTGAGCTGATCAGAACTTGAAAAAACAAAGGCCACAGAAACTTGAATTACAGATTATAACAAATCTTCAAATATTCAGTGTTCTATCTATATGTTCAATGTAACAAATATTCAAATCCTGCTTGACTCAGATGTGATTCCTTAAAAGAACAAAACAGAATGGAACTGTGCCAAAGATAGATTAAACAATGCCATATCCTGCATAATATGATTTTACAGTATGGCAAGGGGTTTCCTGCAATGTCTTTCCAAAATGTTTATGGCAATACAACTTATTGTTACAATGGATCACTCATTAGGCGTACCAGGCCCAATGAGTGAGCAGGCATTATTATGTGTTCTCTTCACTACAAAGGTTTTTTTTCACAGCTGAAGTGTGATAGGTTCTGCCATTGTATAGTCTACCTTGACCACTAATAGGCAGCTAAATTGTTTCTTTCTTGGTGTTAACATATCATGTATATAGTGTTAGTGACTTCACTAATGCTCCATATTTTACTCGAACCTTAATTTCTCCATTTTTTAACTTTTCATTTTGTACCATATTACCCTAATACAGTACAGTACGTTTCCTTAGAGTACATTTTAAGAGACTGTATTAAATATGGTGTTAAATGTATGAGGCTGAAGGAATCCTACATACTGCAGGTGTTTTGACAGATTCTCTCAGCTGCTGTGCTCACGCTCACTGTGTACTTTATTATAATAACTATTCTGGCTACAAAGAAGATTCATGGCTCTGCTGGCTTTTATGAACATTACTAGAAATGGCTTTCTGCCTGTGTAAGGATAAAGAATGTCAGGTGAAGCTCATCTTAGCACCAGAGGGAGGCTGAACCAGGAGGACTCTGATTGGTGTAATACTGCTGCTCTGTGGTATTTAACACTCCTGATGGGTAGGGACCCATTTTGGCAGTTTATTCTCTTTTATAATTAAAACCAACAGATCATTTAGAGTCCAGTCTAATGGTTTTAACCTATAAACCCAATAACTGTATCAAGTGTTCTACCATGCTTTAATACATTGATCTGTTCATAACAATCGTGTGCTTATTGGGGCTGCAGTAGCTCAGTCTGTAGGGACTTGGGTCGCAGGTTCAAGTCCTCTCAGCTGTAGCGGTGCCAGCTCACTTCCTGAGCACTACCCAGGTGCCCTTGAGCAAAGTTTGGTAAACATTCCCATGGTAACAGAGGGCTGCACCAATCAGAGACGTTGCTGTGACACTACAGGATTGTGGGTAGTGTGGTTCTTTTACATACATTCTTTAAAAGATTATGCAAATGATTTCATTTCTTATTTTGTTCACATTTCCATTAATGACCACTTGGGACCCTACAGTAAGTTACCAGGGAAACACTTCACTGACTGAACAAATTGCCACTTCATAGCTTTTATAATCTCATTTTTCTCTTAGATTTCAAGCTCATGGAGTGGGTTCCTCTGGTGGATTCCTCTTACCTGCCTCTCCAGGGTAAGACCAGATCGGGGTTGAGCTTGCGAAAGAAGTACTCTCCACCAGGCTGCCTGCTGTTGTAGCTCGGGACGGGCTTCTCCTCACTCGACTCCTCCTCCTCTGAGAGAGGCTCCTCTGGGTTCGGCCTCATCATGCCAATGTACTTGGGCAGGAAGTGAATGAACACCTGTGAATGTGAGGTAAAGAAATCGGTTAATTAAAGGGTATTGGAGTAGCCTAGATGGATGCAGAGTAAATATGTTAATATGTGCCTCACCCTTCGAACCCAGTGTGGCATGATGTGTGTGCTGGACGTCCGGTGGTGCAGATTGAGGACGACTACACTTAAGATCACAGAGAATGTGACTAGGATCATGGTGAACATGACGTAGTTGACGATAATTGGGATGCCGAGGGAGGTTTCAGGGACCTTGTCAGCCAGCAGGAGCATGAAGACAGTCAGAGCGATGAGGACAGAAATGGAGAGAGTCATCTTCTCTCCTGCAGAAAACAGGAACAGTTAGTAAATGATGTCAGTGAAGCAGCAAAATGTTACTCTGCTTGTTTCTGTTTCACAACTTATTACATTTTACAATGTCATGTGGATCAACGTGCAATCGATCGAATAACTAAACTTTAAAAACCTCTGGAAATCTTCCCCAAAAAGAAAAAAACAACATCACTAACATTTGAATTGCCAATATAATACAAATCTTTACTAGGTGTAATATGTAGAAGTGTTACACCAAAAATCGAAATTAATTAAAAAATGCACTTAACCTATGATTATGATTATTATTATTATTAATAGATTTTTTGGGGGTTTTTCTGCCTTTAATGGAGAGATAGGACAGTGGATAGAAATGGAAATCAGGGAGAGAGAGAGAAGGGAATGACATGCGGGAAAGGAGCCACAGGCTGGATTTGAACCTGGGCCGCCTGCTTTGAGGACTACAGCCTCCATACATGGGACGCGCGCACTAACCACTGCACCACCAGCGCCCATTTAACTGATTTTGTTGTTGCGTACTTACATTACCTCTAATATTTCCAACAGTTATCAAAGCCAGAGAAATCCTTCATTTTAAAGGTCTTTTCTGGCGGCCGCCATGACAGACACAACATTTTTATCATGGCCACACCGGCAGTTACATCAAAGACAGCTACACAAGGAAGCGGAAACTGATACTGAAAGCTGCCGTGTGTCAACTTGGAGTTTATTTCCACTGGGGTTGGGGGAGGTGAAGAACAGAGAATCCCTCCCATGATACCCTGCCAGCTTCAACGTCATCTTTTGTTATTAGGTTGAGAGGCCCCCTGGCGTTGGAATTGACCTAATGTGTGTTTAATGGCATTGTTGTTGTCTTTTTTGTTGCTGTTGGTCTGCTCTCTGTTGGACAGGCAGGTATCAAACAACTGCGGTTAGCTCGTGCTAGCGTGCGATAACTTGCAGTAAAGTTATAAGCGGTAAAGTAGACACTACATGTATTAGTGAGGGGCAGTCTTTTATAGCCCAGTTGCATGTAAACAAAGGAATCCTCCATTTAGCCCTGTAGCAGAGACCAGAACAGAATTTATGCTCTTAAAATTCTGCAAGCTCAAACATTTTGTCATCGATTCTGTTATGTTGGAGAACATCAGTCAAGAACAAAGACTGATGAAGTGGATTTCCTGCCAGTGTCACTTTTCTTCAATCTATGATAAATGTCTTCATGGAGTGGTCGAGTATTAAGACTCTTTGTCATGGCTTCAGATACTGTGGCATGCAGACACATCCCTTCCTATATCTCATCTTGATGTGCAGTCACAGTGTCAGAATGTGTCAAATGTGCTGACCTGCTCCGGGAGGCAGGTAGAAGACAAATATAGCCAGCACCATGGTGAGGATGCAGGGCACGATGATGTTGATGATGTAGAACAGAGGCTTCCTCTCTATGATGAGGTAGAAGGTGATGTCCTCATACAGGTCCTCTTTCACGTTCTTTCTGCTGGGTTTGTGACAGATGGCCCATTCTCCGTTTTCTGTTCAAAATAAACAAATGTAGAACTATGAAATGAAAAGAAAATACACAGGCGCATAAAGGTGTAAAACAAGAAGAATATAGGTGCTGCATGAGGTCACTGAAGGCACCAACCGGTGAAGGCGTTCTCATCTATAACAATCTCATGAATCTCGTTGCCGTTTTCATCCAGAAAGTAGTGCAACTCCACCTCTGACGCGTCGTAGGTGTATGAGCGGAAAACCATGCTGCAGTTCTGCCAATCAAAAGGGAAGTATGACACCTGCAGGGAAGGAAATTGCAAATATATATATTTAAATGGTAAATGGACTTGAGCTTGTAGAGCGCTTTTCTTGTCTTCTAACTACTCAAAGCGCTTTTACACTGCAGGTCACACCCACACATTCACACACTGATGGTAGAGGCTGCTATGTAAAGTGTCCATTAGAACTAACCAATCCCATTCATACACATTCATACACCACCGACCAAGCAGCGGGAGCAACTTAAAGTGTCTTGCAAAAGGACACATCGTACATGTGGCTACAAGAGCTGGGAATCGAACCCCCAACCCTCCTGTTGAGAGACGACCGACTATCCTCAGCCCCTATGTGTGTATGTGTGTGTGTGTGTGTGTGTGTGTGTGTGTGTGTGTGTGTGTGTGTGTGTGTGTGTGTGTGTGTGTTTGAGGGATACTTCAGTCTATCAGTCGGTTGTCCTTTCAGATATTACCTCTATAGAGCAGGAGCTGCGGTAGATGGCTGGAGGAAGCCAGTTGACTGTCCCATCATTGTACACCAAGACGTTGACGTAAAGAGCCACGTCGAACTGACCGTCATTACTGTTGGGAGAAAATATGAAGACACATTTTGAAGCCTCAGAGATTTTAGCATACAATTACATTTCATTTATCTCACTTTAAAGTGACTATTTAAAGCAGTAGCAAAGCAAGACAGATGACCCCCTCCATGTTTAAGTAGAATTCCTGATGCTCTCTTTCAGTCCATCATACATGGCTATGCGTCAAGTTAACATAAAATGGCTAGTACTACATTTACAGTAACCAATGTCAGAACATTGATCACAGAATGCTAGCTAGCTGGTCCAACCTTGTTGTTCCTGTTTGGCATGGGGGGGGAGGAACATTAAACTGACAGCAGAGTGATAAGTCATCATTAAGAATCCAATCAAAACAACTTCTATTTCTAAAAACATATTATCCATAAATCAATGGTAATCATTTGACAAAGGCCCCAGTGGCCCATGTTTACACCCAAGTGCTCAGTGTGGACATTATGGATAACAACAAGTCATTGGAAGTGTGCAGGGACAATAAACAGGACTGGGCCAAGAACCCAGAGGCTGTCTACGCCTCTAATTCCTGAGGAGGCTGAGGTCCTTTAAAAGTGATGCTGAGGTTGATGCTGAGGATGTTCTAAGAGTCCTATCCTGTTTGATGTGGTGTGCTGATGCAAACAAACTCAACAAACTTATTCTCAAGGCCAGTGATGCTGTGGGAAGTGGAGCTGGACTCTCTGATGGTGATGTCAAAAGAAGAGGATGCTGATCAAGTTATGTGGTCCCACCCACTCCATGACATGCTGGCAAACTACTGGAGCACATTCAGCGCTCGACTCGTTCCCCCACGATGCACCACAGGACCCTACAGGACGCCATTCCTACCTGTGGACATCAGACTGTACAACTCCTCCCTCTGAGGGTCAAACATTCAGTCTGGGCTTGTGGACTTTTTTCACGTTTATTTACTATTTAATTCCAACTGTGTACCTTAAAATCTTAGCTGAGCCACAGAACATTATTCTGATTCTGCAGCAGGTGGCATGGACTTCAGCTGGTGACTCACTTGTTTATGAGGTAGATGTCAGGACGCCACACCTTGTTGGGAGGAATCCTCAACACAGTGATGTCATCATATTCGTCTGGGTTCCACGCCAACCTATAGTCTGTCCATGCCTGTGAGGGAAGGGGAAATTATAGGTGGTAAGAGAGTGATTACTAAGCACAGTGAACAGTGCCCTGATAGCTCTGCTGTCTACATCCTGGTTTCTCCTGTCTCTGATAATAATCATCGAGCTCACACACAGCTGTCACAAACACTGAGGCCGTCCTGATTTCTAATTAGTGAAGGCGATGGATAGAAATGAGAGAGCGAGGGAGAGAATAAGAGAGACAAAGCAAGAAATAATCTGCCGTTATAGAAAGTGACAAGTCCATTTCAGGGGCAAAGCAGAGAGAGAGAGAGAGAGAGGGAGAGAGACAGACATACAGAGAGAGAGAGAGAGACGGGAGTCAGAGCAGCAGAGCGAGGCTGGGTGATGAAGATGAATATGATTTCATGTGTGTACCAGATTCATGAACACGTTGGTTGTCATCTCTTCGTTCTTCTCGTTCTGTAGCGGGAAAGAGAGTCACACAGAGAGGAGAGGTACATATATTAGTGATCACATCATAATCATTTTTTGTTACCTTGTTTGGTATGACAGTGCTGTTACTTTCAATCCTGCTCTTAGCAAATACAGTGGGTTTTTTACTTTTGCAGCCAGCCTCAAGTGGACACTTGAGGAACTGCAGTTTTGGCCCTAGTCTTAATTTTTCCACATTGGAGGGTTGCCACTTCTATCAACTGTGACAGCAAATTTTAATTATTGTATTAACTTGATACATGTCAAGGAAGAATGTCAATGAAGTTTAACAGAATTATTCTGGCTATATTAAAGTGAAGCTAAGCAGAGTTTAGTTCAGTGTGTTTGTGTATGTGCAAGCAGAGCCCCTGCTTTGTCACAAAGGAGAACCTGTAGCTATGTCAAGTGCAGACAAATTCTTTTTAAATATGTAATATATTTTGCCTGTATATTTGTCTGTATATTGTGTTTCGAGGAGTATTGGGAGTGTTGATTAGTGTTGTTAGTATTCACTGAGTTCAAGCCAAGTTGTAAGTAAACTAGCAATACAAGTTGTGAATCCTATCTCACTTAAATACTTTTGTAGATTATTGTAAAAAAGAAAAAAGGTGAGTCAACTTTCTCTTTCCGCAAAAGGTATTAAAAGAAAAGTATGTATTTGTGTAGTTTTCTTGTGATTTCTTCTATAATTTTTTGGGACAATTTATAATACAACCAAATATGTAAATAATGCATATGTAAGCATGCATTGTCATGTTTATCCATTTGGCCGCCATCCTTCATGTTTGTATTTACCAAGCTGACAAGCTGCGAGAGAGTCATCCCAACTCGAACCATCACCTTCTCCTCCCAGTATTTAGCTGGTCTTACTTTCATGTTGTAGTTTTTAAAGAGCTTCTGATGGAGCCTCCGCTCTGTTTCTGAGGCCCCTGGATGAAAAGATAGAAAAAGGAAAACGATGAGGGAAATGATACTGAATGGACCAAGAACTTCATCTGGGAATACAAAAAGTCAAGAGAAGCTGAGGAAAAAGAAAGAAATAGAAAGAGAAAATACTGAATGAAGGAAAGTTGGATTTTTCATCCAATCAAAGTAGTCAGAGAAAGAGTGACTACTGGCCCGAGCATGAAAATAACTAAATGCTGGAAACTGGCTCAACCCTCATGGAAAATATAACATCACACTTGTGAAATTTAGAAGAAAGAGGATTTCCCCATATGTTGTCAAAAAGTTCCAAAAACAAATATAAAGTTGTGTTGAGAGTTGAAGCTGTTTTAACTGTCTTAAAAGAAGTCATAATTTAACACAAGTTTGCTTTGCACAAATGTGTCAAATGTATTAAAGGCAGCAAATTGGAATTAGTAGAATCTAGTGGAAGATGCGGATTTCAGACAACTTCAACTTCAAGCATACTGTAGCAAAGCAAACAAAAGGCCTTCTCAAGAGCCAGTATCTCTTTTTCTATTGAAGGTTCATGCAGGAAGACGGGGCTGCAATGTTTAACTGTATAAGACATGGACATAGTTCCAGTGACGTTTCCCATTGGTTTCTAAAGGGGGGTTCTGAAGCCAAACAATGTCAGTCGCCATACATGTATTTGAAATGCTATCTCCACCTTACGCCCAATCAATCTACAAACATGCAAAGAGGTGGAGTTGAGGCAGGCCTTAAGCTTCCTTGCCCCCCAAAAAGGGCATTTTAACATGGTGTCGAATGGCTTCCTGGGCTTTTGGAGCCAGCCTCAAGTGGACATCAAGGAACTGCAATTTCTTCCTCGAGCATTGGCTTCATTTTTTCAATACCGGAGTATGCTTACTGGCTGCAACATGTTGGACCCCATGTAAGAACTAACTTCCTTTGATGTTGAAAAGAACTCATTTTAAGGTAACTAAATTACATTTTCAAATTTGTATTTGTTTATGATATTCAAAAGTGTAGTTTAACTAATGTATAATCAATGTCTTCCAATAGCTGTGGAAAGGGATCCCCTATAGTCTTGCTATAAGGTTCAGTGGGGTGACCGAAGCTGGCCCAGAAAACCAGAACATAGTTGTTTTCCTTGAATAAATGAGCCAGGCCTACAGTGGTTAGGGGTTACATTTTGTACAGGGGTGGCCATTGCTAAACATATACAGTGTATACTCTTTGTGGAGGTCCTCTCTTTCTAATTCAGATTCCAAATGCAAAAAGCATAAATGCTATTATTGTCCCCAAAATAATCCATGATATGAAATTTAAGTTTTTTTAATAGTTAGTAGTACTTTGCACTTTCATCTCCAAACACTGCTTTGATACTTACAGATGATGGACTGACTTTCATTCCAAATATGTGGCAAAACAACATGTGGAAACGACATAGAAGGACAGACGGGACATGCAAAAGAAGAAGGGCAGGTGCTGTACGATGGGTAGCAAAGGTGACTGAGCTAATGTAATTGATATGCAGCAGGGGGATGGGATCAAAGGGATGTCTAGGATACCAGCTCCATCAGGGACAAAAATAGACTCTGATTAACAAACAATGAGTTGTTAATGTGATTCATTATACGATCCAGAACAGGATCTTTCTTTTTTTGCTATTCAAGTGAAACACCATACACTTCTTTGTAAGGGCATAGAAAGGACTTCTATTCACAGAGATTCCCTCCTTCTCACTTGCCTTTCCCTTTGGGGAAATTCAGTCGTTAAATGGCACTAGCTGTAGGACTTAAGGGACGGGAACAATTCACTACAATCCCTGTGGAGTTCCCCAAACAGTGAAGCTCCTTTTTTTCCTTTTACTCCCATTTTAAGGTCAGAAGGTCAAAGTGAAAGTCCTTCAGCTGAGCTCAGATGAAACCAAGTCATTGCAAGTCGATTCCAATTATGATTTTTATCCCCCAAAAAACGCAGAGGAAGTGGAATCAATAGCAATTTAACTGAACTGACAGCGCAGTGGGATTCAAGAAGCTTGAGCGTTATCTGATTGAACAGTAACTGTTGAACTGAGCGCAGTAATGCATCAATTTCTAAGTCTATTCTTGCATATTGAGGTTGCAAGGGTTCTCCACTAAACAGCCCGGCAGGAAATAGGTACAGGAGTAGTGTTAGGACAGCTAGAGGAATGGCAACACTGCACCACAGGTCAAAAACAAACACAAAGGGCAACTGTTTGTTTTCCAAGCATGACATGTGGTCAATGGTCATAGTCAGTCAAGCGTTTTTGTTTGTTCTTTCTGCCCCTCTCTTCCAATCTATCTCCAGTTGATGTTAATGCCAGTTAACGCAATGTATCTATGAAAATGTTAGCTAACTAATGTCTGGGAAGTTCCAGATATCAAAATTCATGCACATAAAACCCCAATACACACTAAAGATGTCAAAATGATTTATACTTTTTGATAACATAGGATTTAGAAGGTACAATCTGTATTTAAAAACAACAGAGTTAAAACATTTTTTATTATTTTTTAACCCATAAAGAGGGGGCAAAGTCAAAATTGTATTTAGACAGCGAAACAAATTGCAAGCGAACTCCTGCACCCTATCTAAATTGCAAAAATACATTGATGCTCCCAATATTGGGTGAATAGGACTTTTTTGTTGCCATGGTTTCCAAACAGACATATCTTCTTTTTTTTTTATAATTCTAGTATCATGACAAACACACATATTCCAAAAGCGTCTTACCGGTAAAAGTGAAACAAAAGCAGCTGCATACGAAGATAAATGCCTTCATCCTGACATGAAAGTTCATTCTCGTCATTTGTCCAATCGTTGCAGTCATGACATCTTAATATTTACAAGCCAATCCTTGTTCACGGCCTTGTTCTCCGCTGTACAGGAACAGTGATGTTTTAACCTGGAATCTCGATGAATCGTCCCTAAAAAGACACTTTTCTCAGTACGGCATTTACCTGTACACCTTCAGTGGAATTGCGATTACAAGGCACCTCCAGTAGCGCACAGTGTTCAGTTAATGTATCTCCCTCTTGTCCTTTCGTCTCTTTGTGGTCATGGCTCCATTGGTACATGGGTGCTGGGAGTGACGAGTGGGCGGAATGTGTTTGTACTGGGAAGCCTGTGGGGAAGGCACCTGTTGGTGCTCACCAATCCTGAGGTTAGCACTGTGGGGTTGGTCGAAGAGGAAGTGGAGGGGGTAAAGGAATGGCAACGGGCTACGGGTTATGACAATGGAAATATTTTTGGGTGGAGCATGGGGGCGGGGAGGGTGGGGGGAGCGTGGAGTGGGTTTTAAACTTTCTCTGAGGCTGAATTGGTTTTTCATTGATTCTTACTCCTTTCACTTGTAAAGCTTTGGTCATCTTGTAATTGACCCGTTCTTTATTTCTTATCTGTTAATTAAACTCCATTAGATCTTTAATGCTTTCAAACGATAGTCCCCCACCCTCCCTTTTAGTTTTTTTTTGCAAATTAATGGTCGAGTGGGAACATTATCCATAAGGTATCCAGGAAACAATACCAAATGGATATAACCACCATATTAAAGATTTAAAGAATTTGATGGGAACATGTTCTGCACCTCATAAAACCCACTTAGAATACAGCATAGACATTAATGTTACAGTTGTATTTAACCCATAAAGTGCCAGTCTCCTTTGTTTTGTCTCCTATTTTTTCTTATTAAGGTTATAGAAGTTAACACAGAGAATAATTGAAGATGAAGAATCAACAAGCTTCACAAATAAGCTGAAACCTCCAAGGTTGAAAAAGGGGGCCAGCATGAAAGTTCAAACAAATCCACTGAATGTTCAAATGTTCAAATTTATATTCCTATTTTGGCCAAATTGTGATATCTGCCTAACTCTACTGTCCTAACTCTGCTGATTCACTGTACATTATTGCCTATATCCTAAGCCTATCAGAATGCTTGTTGCATTCCAAAATCACTATCTGCCGAAGTCATCTGTTAGACTTTGTTCGTTTGTTTTTTCTTCTTTTCTAAAAACCTTAGAATATGACTTAGGCAATTATGCTATGGGGTTAATTAGATGAAATCAACATGTCTACAGCCTGATCAACCATTTTTTGTAAACTTTCCAATCTATGACAAATATAGGGCTGAATTGTATTTATACTTTGGCTTTAATTACAGTATGGCTTAATATTATGCCTGTTAGAGTAGTTGTTGGCTAGGTGTCACCCTTGCTTATTACACTCTTTACACTTGACATCTTTGCTGTATTTTTTTTTTCAATTTCATAAAAAATATCTGACATATGAAGTGGTGTGCAGCATTAATTAGCAGGTATCACCATTTCTGCTTGATAACGTCTACATTAAGGAATTTGTGGTGGCACAGTGTTCCATTTTATTGTGTCATTCATAAGCAACGATATATTTTGGTAATGTCAGAGTTGTCTTGACAAGGAATATTAAGGTGGAAAGAATTTTCAGGTAGTCGACATTAGAAGAAGTTATTCAGCTGAGGAAAAGCTGACTTGATGTGACATCATAAGTCTCCCATAACCATTCGAGCTGAAGAATGTGTGGGAAAGAAAATGTGCTGGAAAAAGTGATGCTTAGTGAAAACTTGCAGCATGAAGTTGCTGAAGCAGAGTTCAGAATTACCAAACTTGTTGGCAGGAGCACTGAGGTGTTGTTAATAGTGATGGAGAGGTCTTGTAGGATTCATGAGCCTCAGTTCAGAAAGAGCACCTCCATCTCGCTGATACTGCGCTTGAAGTGGGATTGAGGCAAGACACGATGTTGTTGCCATAGAGATGATGAAAGAAGTCGTGAGACATAGTCCTGAAGTGTTATGATCGATGAGGTGAAGGCCTCGCAATGAACTCGGTATCCTGCTGTTTCTTGGATCCTTCAAGCTGCCTTTTTTATGAGTTTGATGTCGGGTGTTTCAGGGGTCATAAAGTTATGTTGTCTGTTACACAAGATAACAAAAGTGCTCACCTTGTTCCCATCTCTTACTCCCCGTGAGTACTCTCCATTACCTGTTGTTATCAGAGGTCGCACTATCCTCTCTGTTGGTCAGGGCATCCAAAATACAAACAAGCCATAAATCCGGAAGAGGTTGAGAGTTGAGAAAGGAAGAATGTTACAGACTCCGCCTCCTGCAGGCCACCTCCACCAGTATAACTACATCAGAATGACCTGAGTGTGTTTTTATGGTTGTATTGAACGATGAGTCTTCTCAATGTTATGGTTTCATGGAAGGTAAAAGGTTTGGATATATAAGCAGTGCAAATAGTATCCTATATATATATATATATATATATATATATATATATATATATATATATATATATATATGTTTTTTTTGGTACATTGTTATGTTTGTCAAATCTGGCCAGGGACAACAGATGACAATTAGTCTTTTGGCTAACTCTGGCATATTTACCGAAATGTTTATTAAAGGTCCCATATTCTGCTTTTTCTGGTTTTATATGCCCTTTAGGGTGTTTTCCAAGTGTCCTGTGCATGTTTAGGCACATCTATGCGTGCTGAGCAACTGACCAATAACGACAGAGCGGATCGGCAGACCAATCAGAGCAGACTTGGCCCACGTGGGGTCTAACAGTGTGGGCTCAACAGAGTAGCTGATGGACTCAGAGCGGAGAGGGAGCAAGGAGGAGCAGTACATGAAAACAGACACTTTTTTAGAACTTTAGCTATTGTGAACGTACAAAAGTAGGTACAAGATTAAATATACAAACCCCAAAAAGGGCATAATATGGGCTCTTTAATATGCAATGTCTCTGTAAAATAAATAAATAAAAAAAATATCCTGCAGCCAGGTCTATAATACTTAAGTATCATTGACACAATGAGCTGTTGGGAATGAGTGCAGTATTAGCTAACTCTGCATAAATGCAGTAGTGTCTTTATTCACAGAACTATCAGGGAAGCCCATGCAATCCTGTCTGTAAGCAGTTACAGTGTGTGTGTGTGCGTGTGTGTGTGTATGTAGGATTATTAGGGATTATTAATAGCAGAGAGGGCAGGTGACGGAGCAAAGGGTCGCAACTCTCCCGACAACATACTGACAACAGATGCAGCCTTTGATATCCTCCCGTCAGATCTTTATTTAAAAAACACAAACAAAATGAAAGCACAAGATTAGGAGGTGACGGTGTGTGTTTGAGTCATGTGACAGAATCTGAAAGCATGTGTGGAGATTGCCGGAGCAGCATTTCCATGTTCCCAGGGCTCTAAGCTGCCAGGGTCGTATGTTCCCCTACTTAATATCCTCTTAATGAGATGGGTCAAGGAGACTTTTTCAGAAGGAGAGGCAGTTTTCAGCACAGCTTTGAGTAAATGTCCCTTGGTTGTATATAATCTCTACTGATGTTCTACTTCTTAAAACCTACGCCTTCAAAATGTGGGCAAGAGGGGTGTCTTGGCATTGATATCTCCACGTTGGCAGAACCATAATGGTCTCACAAAATAGTCAGGAACAGCCTTGGCCTCTTACCACAGCTTTACTTGATAAAGGCGTGTGATGTATAGAAATAAAGTGTCGGCCCCAGAGAGAATTTGTTAAATGAAAAGTAAGAGTAAATGGACTTGAGCTTGTAAAGTGTTTTTTTTCTGAGTACTCAAAGTGATTTTTACATCACAGTCACACCTAACCAATTCACTACATTCACACACTGATGGCAAAGTGGAAAGTGTCTTTCCCAACAACACATCGACATGTGACTGCATGAGCTGGGATTTAATCCTCAACCTTTTAGTTGAGAGACGACCGACTCTACCTTTGAGACACATCTGCCCAAAGTCAATAAAGATCTGTAAATGTGGTGGACACACAAATCCTCTAGAGGAAGTTGTATGAAGAGCTATACAGACTGCTGGTATAGTAGTAAGTGGCTAAGGATGAGTCATACAAACACAGGACCAGAGTTCGAGTCACATGTGAGATGGGAAGTCAACACTGACTTATTTTCATTTTTTTTACTGGTGACATATGTTACTTAACTGACCTAGTTCTCAACTGATTTTCTTAGTAGTTTTTCCTCATCTTCATAACATTACATGTGCAATGAAACATAAACAAAGTGATGTATGCAACATTACGTGCACACAAAGTATGCAATGAAACACATTCAATGAAACATGTGCAATGAAACATATGCAATGTATACCGCTTAATCTGCACAACAAAATATGCAACTTAACTTATGCAATGTAACATATACAACGTGTTGTATACAACATAACGCGCACGTAAAATATGAATTGTAACATATTCAAGGTGGTGAATGCAACGTAACTTATGGACATAAGGTACACAATGCAACCTATGAAATGTGACCTATGTAATTTAACATGTGCAACCTAACATATTATGCAACACAATGTGGTGTCTGTAAAGTGTACATTTCATAACTTGTTAAAACCGAACATACTCAACATAACTTCTATCATGCGGATTCTGCACGTAACATTCAGTTCTTATTTAGATTAAAATAATAATGTATGTGGAGATTTTGTTTTGTTTTCCCCTACCCTACTGCACTTGAAATGCACTCTCAAAAGGTTGAGCTCTTTTCAAGTTTATTGGTGAAATCAGGTTGGTTTGACAGACTTTTGTCACCAAATTGCATGTGAATCAACCAGACACCTTGAGTTTTTCTTAAATGAATACACAAATGAACCCCTCATTAATCTTTTTAAATGATGGTTAACATATGACCCTGGACACATAGGACCCTGGGAACATTAGGATGACCCCGATGTCTCCTACATAATGGGAATTCCACAGGCTATTGGTGCAGCTGGTGAACTGAGTTGGCATTCTACTCCGCAGTCCAATATAAGAATATTCTCATGCTAAAATATAGGGCTGAAAATACAAAGAGGATTACTATGGTAGCAGAAATATCCATGAAGCATGTGCCACGCTCCAGCACATTCTATTGCAGGGAAATGAAAGGCATGCAGCGTTGCTTGTTATAGCATCTGGCTTCTCTTGGTGTTTATGTGTGAACACCACATTGGAATATCAAACCCTGGACCTATAAGTCAGAGGGCCAGATTTACTAAAGGTTTGCGTGTCTTAAAATGTGTGCAAACTTGATACCACCAGCAAAAAAAGTTTATCTGATCTACTAACGGCGTGCAGTGAGGATTGCGTCTTTCATATGAGCAAAACAACACGCATTGTCCATTTAGTACGTTTGACTTAATGAATATGCAATATGGGGCGTTTCTGCCCTAACGTGCAAAATACTGGGAGGAGAAAATGCAAACAAGTTAAGTTAGTACACGCATTATGATCTACCAAACCTGGCAAAAATTACGGTGATTGTGACGGTGTCTGAATTTAACACCTTTGAAAGGAAGGTGCTAATCCAGGAGACCAGTGTTACACACAACAGGCTGCTGTTATTGAAGTTAGGAGGAGACATAGGCACAATAAAAGAAGACATAAAGATCGCGTTATTCCCCACAAGTGTTTACATGTTTCAAATGACAGAAAAATAAATGGCATGCATTTAATTTGATTCAGTATTCTAATCGTTAAGGAAGAGAAACACCATGATTAAACTACAGGCTATTGTTGCCATAGCCTACAGCCAAACAAAACTGAACATCCACAGCCTCTGAATTCTATAGAATTTCAACATTGACATTTATGTCTTAGTAGATCACCCGCGAAACGCCCACCAACCAAACGTGCAAACTTTTGGAGTGAACATGCAATTTAGTAATCTTTAATTGGGAGCTTAGTAAATATGGCCCATAGTACACTAAAAACCACAACAAAAGCTGAGTTTTATGTCTCAATACACACACTATACAATACAGGGACATTGGCTTGGTTGACTAAATCCATGCATTAATCAATTCTGACACACATTGTCTAATTTTGGCTCCTAAAGTATCTTCATCAAGAAATCTGTCCAACTTTGTCTTGTCAGCCTGAAGACGTATTCATGTAATTAAACCATGAACACTGAGGCTTCAAAGTTATTCGATACTGTTGCTCATTCAGCTGAGAAACCTCAAGATGTTCATTCATTTGCATTCTCTTGCAAATTAAAGTTGAACGGAGAAGACACTGCATAGGCATCTTGACAGCTGCATACAATTTTAGAGACCTCAGCTGGTCAAAAAGAGGCAATGTTCTAAGGGTAGGTACATGGTCCAACTCGGACCCTTACATTTATTAAATCAAAGTCTTTGCCTTTCATATAACCAAGAAGTAAAGTGTTGGATTACCTTATTCTTCAGAATATAAGACCGGGTTTATTTTCCTGAATTACACCTGAAAAAAGTGGGATTGTCTTATTTCTTTAAATACCAAAATATGTCTATAAAAGTAGAAGTGCCACTTATATGTAACCAAGGGCATCATGATGGAGGCCAGCTATCACTCAGCTGTAGCACCAGGGGGCGACACGGGGACTGGCCATAAAGAAGTGGCCTAAAAGTAGGTCACGTTATCGAACTGAGTCAGAGTTGTGATTAGAGACCGACGATTAATCGTCAAGCCGATAATATCAGCCGATATTAGCATATTAGCATTTTATCACAGATACGCGCTGATATTACTGGATTTTCTGCAAATTTACATCTACCTATTTCATGGATCTAAGAAAGATATCGGCTGATATATTGGTATCGGATTTCTTATCTTTCCAATATCGATATCGGCCCCAAAAAACCTCATATCGGTCGGGCCCTAGTTGTGATGCTAATTTTAAGATAATGATTATCAATGCAGCATTTTTAGGGTTTAAGAGCTCTATCTAAGATTGACAAACTACTGCACACTCAGCACCCCGCCTGGCAGACACATCCGTTGTATAAATGACTCTCCTTGAATGCGTGGAAAACGGCCCAACTGCACTTTGAGTTAAACTTTAAAAACAGGAGTTGTGTTTTGTGTTTTTGACCCAGAGAACCAGTTTAATACATGTATTTATTTATTTCCCATCTCATTTGAAATGTGTGTAGAAAACCAGACAACCAGACACTGCTTCAGGTGGATTTGAAGGGGTCAGTGGGTGTGTGGTTGAAGCTGGCACTGGCAAAGATGGCCAAGGTGCCCACAGTGGTGAAGACAACAAAGATCCAGAGGAACATTCGGTCCACCACCATGGCAACGTACTGCCATTCCTCCCTCAGCTGGACCGGGATGAATGGATGACGAAGTAAACATAACAAGAGAGGAAGAAGGGGAGGTTTGAAAGTGATGTAAGGAAGGAGTAACGAGAGGATGGGAGAAGACAGACAAGAGGGAAAAAAAGAGGAAATAGCAGAGATCAGAAACCAAATAATCACCCGGAATAAGTCAGGAATAAAAAAGGTCTTTAAAAAAATAAACAGGAGTAAGAGAGAAAAGATGGAAGAGCATCATAAAAGTAAACTCACAGCTTCATAGTCCTTCTCAGCCTGCAGAGCCTCAGCGATATACGTGATGGCTTCTATGGCTGACTTGAGCTCGTCAGGCAGCGTGAGGTAGCTGCTGGGGCCGTCGATGAACTTCCTCAGATCTGTACACATGCCCTCTGGATGATACCTGCAGGGCAACACACAGAAACACACATTACTCTCACGGAAATGTCTCTGCAAGCAAACACAGTGTTTGAAATAACAAAAAAAAGATCTCAGGATTGATGCAGGGAAAATTAAAGAGATAAGAGTTATTCATAATAAGGGGCATGGCTTATCAAACTGGTCCGTATGTTGTAGCTGTTTTTCAGGAAGCTTACGGCCTGCTTTATCTCAAGCTCTTTGACTGCTACAAGGTTGACCCGAAGTAGGATTGAGACAGCATTTCCAATATGGCAAACGCCATTGATTGTCTTCAAAAGTCACAAATGGGTGACGTCACTGAGGCTTTGTCCATGCACCATATATAATTCAATGGTTTAGCAGTTTCCTTAACTCTAGACTAGTCGAATAGTCTACATTTTAATTTGGTTAAACAACAGGGAAATTAGTCGCCAGGAAAGTCCCTAGTAGAAATATAATAAAACATGTCTGCCCAGACTGATTTAAAGATGTACAATAATCAAGGCTTCATAAGGGATGTTGCACACCTTCCTCACACTTTCCTGTTATTCAGAAATAAATAAAGACAAGGTCAATGGAACACCCCGGGCTTGTTTTGCCAGTGTGGTATCATCGCTCTGGATCTGCTGACTGGGCTGCACTGGCTATAAAAACCCACAGTGTGCATATTTATGTATATGCTTTTTGCCAAACTGAAATGTATGTGTTAGTGTTGACTTCCTTGCCCTCAATAACCAACTGTGAGCTGCCAAAGTGAGCCAGTATTTGTTGGAGCTTTGGGAAGGTTGCTGTGGTACATTCAGTCTAATTTCACTAATAACTTTCCACATTAAAAGGTCAAACTACACTATACAAAATCAAAACTTACAAAGTCAGATATATTAAATCAAGAGCTTAGGAGATGTATTTGTCTGAAATCTGAAAGAATGTTCTTCAGAACAATATCAGCCAGAAATGAATTATAGGCACACTTATTTATTTATTTATTTATTTATATTTATTTTTGGGCTTTTTGTGCCTTTATTGGAGAGATAGTACAGTGGATAGAGTCAGAAATCAGGGAGAGAGAGAGAGTGGGGAATGACATGCGAGAAAGGAGCCACAGGCCAGATCCGAACCTGGGCCGCTCGCTTGGAGGACTACAGCTTCCATACATGGGGCACGCGCACTAACCACTGTGCCGCCAGCACCCCTGGCACACTTATTTCTAGCGGTGTAAAGACATACGTAAAATAACAACGTCCAAAATACCTTCAAGGGAAATTAAGTCTTTTGGATTTCAAATGACCAAAGACAAATTTACTAAATTCTGCCACTCTGTACACTTTGCAGAAAAAGCGATTAAACCATCAACAGAATGAAGAATCTCATCTGTTAAAATGGCAAAGCCGATCCTGTGCTAGGACGCTAACTTAAGCAAACAGTAGCCCAAGCAGACCCGAATATTTAACACTTTCTACGGGTACAACTCTCTAAAGTCACATCGTCCATAACTTGATGTATGGCTAAGGTTTACTATCTAATGGTGGCATTGGAAGGGACAGTTTTCGTGACAGGAATTCATACATTTGAGTCTAGTTAAACAAATGGATAATTTTCTTATGAGCGTACTAGAGTACAGAGAATTTATTAAATTATGAATTTAATCTGGCTTTGATTTTTGCCTCTTGGAGGAATTAGGTGTAAGCAGAGGTTTACAAAGCCCTAAAAGTGTAACAACAGCAGTGCTAAGATTTCTGTGTTGGTTACAAAAATAAATGTCTTGCCCCAACTACCAGTCAAAGTGAGACACCTGGGCAGGTGTGTCATAAGGACTTCACATCAGATACATAATGTCACTATAGTTGTCTTTTACAGAAGGCCCAATAGTTGTCTCTTAAAAAAGTAATAAACACAAGGACATGCTATTTCATTAAGTGAAAAAATTACTTTGAATTGAATTTGTTAACTTGTTCAAATTCAATCAAATCGCACCAAATGGTTCCATATTGTAACTGAATTGGATCGTAGTTCTAGAGGATCAAATCACCTTGTGAAAGGAGAGATCCACACCACTACTTCTATCCTATAACATTCTACTGACGGTCAAAGTGATGCAGGTAACTTGGTTGTACCTGTTGTGATAAAGTTTTCTTCTTTAACATAATAATTAGCTTGTGTTAGCTGATTCTCCACACTAAAGTACAGCATTACCAACAACTTTTATTTAGCAGAGCATTTCCTCCTGTTCCTTTTTTGCACCTGGCTTTACTTTCATATGTTTGACGGAACAGTCGGGTTGTGTTGTTTTTGGTGCCCCCTGGTGGACAGCAGTACATCTTTTCTCTCTTCTAATCTTTTCTTGTACATGAATACAAAGTGTTTTCTCACAGAACACCCCCTCCTGCTGTCTGTTTACAGTCAAAAGTATCCCTTATTGTGAATATTTGCCGTGGAAAAAAGTCCACAAAATCCACAGAAGTTGCTTTAACGTAGTATTTTCAGAAGGAACTCTCAGCATTACTCATCAACCTTTTTCTGATCCGTCTCCCGACAGCAATTCTATAAATAATCACACGGAGTGTCCTTGAGCAATGACACATAGATTTCCATTAGCTGCCTCCAGTCGAGCATCAGACACAGAGCTCTAACAATCTTTTTGCCTTTAAGTAGTGATACAGCACGACTGTCTCTGCAGGACATCACATGCTCACAACTGACATTGTCGCTGAAATTAAAGGTTGATTTTTTATTCTGTACATTCAAACATGTGGTTGTTTGCTTTGCACTACAGACAGTAGCAGCTGAAATGATGCCTCTTCTGCAGGAAAGTCTAAAACAACACCTGAAATGCCTGAAGTAATCCATCACTGTGTTCTGTTAACACAGAAATACAGAAACTGTGTTAGGTCAACATTAAAGCTCCTTTGTGTTGATTTTAACGCCCCCTGTGGACAAACTGGTACGTCTCATCTCTTGGCTGATCTTGTCCTGTACCTGTGTAGGTATTTCCCTAGAGCTCCTGCAGCCACATGTCTGATGTGTAGTCAGAAGACTAGAAAAGACCTTTACAAGCTCAAGGCCATTTATCATTTATTCATTTCAATCAGTTTCTTTATAAGTGTAATGTTCTCTCCTATAATGCTTTCTGTATTCTGGGGCATTCTGACTTTCGACAGTCTGTGGGGGGAGGGGCATTTGTGTGTGCAATTAATGCCTCTCACACAATATTAGGGCTCCATGATTCTTGCTAAAATGTGAATCACGATTTTTCTCCCTGAAACTGAGATCACGATTCTCTCACACTATTCTTCTTTTTTTTTTCTTCTACTTTTAAGTAAAAACTTTAACTTTAACTCCACCATGTAAAGTATGTGCCAAACCCTTTGTAATGCTGACTGTCAGCGGAGCGCCCTAAATGAGGAAGATAAAATCATAATCCATTTTTATTGCACCGATTTGTGTCTCTTCTGCACAACTTTATGTTTATGATCTTTTTTTTTCCTTTTGAGTGTCTTTTTAAAAAAAAAGTGAGGCTTTACATCTTCGTTAGTCAAAATGTCAAGTCAAGAAATTGCTTATAGATTTTTTATATTTTCAGTTCTTAAAAAGTCAAGAGTGTGTGTGGGGTGGAGTTGGGTGTGTGTGTTGTGTATACCTGTGAGAGGAACAGATACACAGTGTAAAGATATATCACACATGTCATAAAAACAGTAGCTCAAACTCTTCTCCACTTTGACTACGACCTTGTCAAAAGACACTTGAACATTTGACAAATAAACCCTCACAGAACAGCTGCACTGTGGCTTCTACCAACATCTGTCTTTTAATGAAACACCTGGAATATTAAACACCTATTTCACTCACTTTTTAAAGATCCTAACAACAAAAAATCCCAGATAGAGGGGAGCAGGTGAGGTGGCTTTCCACCAGAGGGCAGTATGACACTGTGTCTTTTCTTAGAATATTAAAATGAAGTGTAAACTGACAGCCAGGGCAGAGCAAAGAGCTGCTTTGTATTTCATGGAGCAGATTGGGAGTTTACGATGCACCGTCGCTGTTATTCCTGTGTGTGTGTGTGTGTGTGTGTGTGTGTGTGTGTGTGTGTGTGTGTGTGTGTGTGTGTGTGTGTGTGTGTGTGTGTGTGTGTGTGTGTGTGTGTGTGTGTGTGTGTGTGTGATGCAGGTGGAGAGGCTGTGACCTAAGAGAGGAGGAGCCTCATCAGACAGAGAGATGGAGAGACAAGAGAGGGAGATAGAGCAAAACAAAGAGAGAGAGGACACTTTGACCCCTCCTCCCTTTACCTCCTACGTGGCTCAAAGTAGCACTTCATCAGCGAGAAGTAAATGACTGTTCAGGAGACTAATTCAACTAAAACTGGCTGTGTCTGGTGCCAAGACATGCACTAAACCCAATTAAGAGTGTGTGAGTACGTGTAGGCCCAAGAGAGATTCTGCTGTATCATCAAATAGCTTGAAAAGAGCCCCCCCGCCCTCCTTCTTCTGTCACCCATCCTAACACCTAGACGAGCAGTGGCCCGCTCCTAATGTGTCCTAGTCGATTTGTGCGGGTCATTATTATTTTAGCAATGATTCTCTGCCGCCTCTAGCCGTTCCCACTGGACAGATTTCAGTCCTCACAGGGAGGTGGAGACAGATAGAGAGGCAGGGACGGCCACAGACTGTGAGGAAGCATTTCAGTGTGTATTAATAGAGCAGCAAGGACAGTGTGCTGGTTAAAGATGTCACAAAGTGAATGTTTTTTCCTGGGATGTACAATTCCTCTTTCCACCAAATTCAACTGAGCAAGGTGACCCGTTTCCTTTCTACAACAAATAGAGACTGCAGCTACACTGATAGAATGTTTCTGTTGCCAATTTAAGCGCAAACTTTGGCCGAAATCCAGCTCCTTCCTCAACAAGCTTAAGGGGCATCAAACTGTTAAAGTCAAAGAAGGAAATCATTAGAGTGGGTTTCACTTGAGGTGTTTGGGTTCTGAAGTTAAATGTCTCACAGAGGCTGTGACACCTTAACAAGAAAATCTTTCTTTTGGTATTTAGTAGCACGATACTGCCACAGTTTTACATTTTGAAAGTTTCTGTGGAAATTGCAATCATGACTAAAAACTCTCACAGTCCAAACCAAAAGGGTATAAGGTCATTTTCTACATGACATGTTTACATGTGAAGATATGTTTACACACAAATAAACTAGAACTTTAGCTTGTGTGTTAAGACCACAGACTGTGGAAATATTAGAGGTAGTCATGGTGACTTGACCAATTTTTCCAAAAAGATATTCTGAAAGTATCCGATGGTGGTCCCCATATTGGAAATGCTTACTGCTGGTAACTAGAATGAGTGAAAATGAGGTAAGAGTCGGAGCTGAGGCAGGCCGGTAGTCTGGCAAACAGTTACAACATGGCATAAAGTTGAGGTCCTTATTTTTTTAATCTATGCATAACTTTAAACAATCAAAGTTGATGTCTCGCTATAAAGACCAAAACTGTTTCAAAGATTTTTTTAGGAATCTTTATTGGATATTTTCAAGAAAAATATCAGGAATTCTTTCATCAGAAATGTTTCATGAATTTTCAGAAACTATTGTTTAAAATTTTAGTCAACAAAAAAAATCATAAATAACATTATGTAGAAAATTTGTGAAACTTTCCTGAAATTTTTCCTGGGAATTTTTGTGGGAATTTCTACAGAAATTTTCAGAACCTTACAATATAAATTTTCAAGAATCTTTTCAGGAATGTAATCATGAAATCAAATTTACAGTAATTTCTTGTTCTTCATGTGAATTTTAGGAGTTCTGTTCATCAATATTTTTGCAAATTTCAAAGAATTTAAACTATCAGGAATTTGCATGATAATTTTCATCAATGTAGGTTTTAAATTTGGCATAAATTCTCGGGAGCTTTCAGGTCTTTCGTTCTACTTTTTTAATGACTTGACTGGTCTGATGTTTCTGCAGATTTTTATCACAAATTTTGAAAATGGAAGAATTGCAGTTTTTGCACTTAGTCAATTATTTGACACCTTTATTGCTACTCATCAGAATCTGTTTATTTTGAGTGTAAACTGCAGTTTCAAGTTAGCTGACATGTGACCGGCTGGACACATTTTAGATGCCCCTCAAAGGTGGTTCAACTCAAGGCCGTGGCAGTTTGATGCATGTCATCCTGCATGCGCTCTCCCCACATTTCCTGTCTCTCTTCAACTATAAGTATCTGCTATAACTAGCAAAAATGCATGACCTGGCAGACAGGTAATCAAACTGGAAACAGGTAAACCTCCAGATGCTTTGGCAACATTTTTTCCCGATCAGATCTCACTTCACAAAGGCACCAGAAAGGACAATCAATGCAGCGTTAACTGCAAGCTGTGAAAAGGTGCTACTTCAGCAAGGAGCAGAAATGACCCTCAGTGTATCAACATGAGTCATGGATATATACCATAGATTTGAATGAAAAGAAGATCATTTGTAGTTGGGTGATAAAAATACTGTCCTGTATTTAAGGTGTTATGCTTGGTTAAGCTTATTCATGTTAAATAAAAGTTAGATTTGGAAAGACAAATTGATGCAGGTTTAGGGCAGGCGAGCTGACTTCAAAGATAACCCGCTACAATAACCTGAAACTCTATGAATAATAAACACAGGAAGTGATACATAAACCATAAATTGAATTTCATAGTGCTCTCTAACACTTTTTTATCAGTTTACTCTTAATGTATTTTTAATCACTTCTACCATAGAACATTATTCCTACTCCATATAACATGCGTCACAGCTGCTGATGTGGATTAGAAAATACAAGAGCACAAAGTTTAAAGTTAAAGCCGTGAGTGTACATGTGGTGCTCCTGTACATGCAGGGGTAGAACAGTATATGGTACTTGAAATTAATTTTTCATCCTGGACTGGTAGACAGTCAATCACAGGGCTGACATACAAGTCCAGTTTCCATCAAGCGGTCTGGTTCAGTTTAGTACGGTTCCCATTTATTGGCGTTTCCACCATCGAAAGTTGGGAATGGTACCAAAATAAGAAATCTGTACCGTCCTACTTTTTTGGTACCCTTCTGTTGGGGTGCAAAGGTTACAGAGCCGACCCTAAAGGGAACTTTTGTTTACTGTGTCCCTGTTCTTCTTTGTTGAACAAAGGTAATAGCAGGCTTCACTGTGTTGAGCTGCTATGATGTCACACTGTTTTGTAGCAGCTATCTCAATCTGGCTTACACTCCACTTACCAAATAAGGGTACAGACGACTTTGGAAACGCAAGCAAGATCAGGGTTTACCGTACCAAACTGAACTGAACCAAACCGAACCACTTGGTGGAAACGGGGCGAAATAGAGAACAAACCATATAACATAATTTTGTAGGCCAACCCAGAAGTAGCATCTCCATGGGGTCTAACGAGAATTCTCCTATGGGATGTTTTAATTGGATTTTGGATCATTTCAGAAAATAAGCTCTGTGGCAAACACACGTTTGTGAAGCGTAGGCGTTTTGTTCAGCAGGATAATCTTCACAGATGAACACCATTTTTATGATGTTTGAAGCGTTAATGTGGCCGACAGAAGTAAAAAGCTAACGTTATGCTACAAGCTAACTACATCATGGTTGGATGATTGTGACATCACTAGCGTTATGCTTCAGAGCAACAACTCTAACCACCACAACACCATGCAGCCCTATTTATCAATGGATACATTAAATTGTATCCCAATCAATACATTTCCAAAGTCCTAGCACAAACTCCTGGTGTGACCTTGGTTCCCGGGGTGTGCCTAATCTCACCTGTTGGGTTTGGGGAACAGGAAGGATGAGTCCGGCTTCCGTATGAAGTATTCATCAGCACCTTTGCTGATGGCGAAAATCTTTTTCTCGCGGCGGGGCACGGTCTCCAGGGAGAGGGGGATCTCTACCTTCGGCCGCAGCATGCATAGGTAAGGAGGCAGCATGTGGATGAAGATCTGAAAGTAAAAGAAAATCTTTATGAAATCTGTTTCTTTGCACTTTCTCTGATGTTATTTGAATTCACTGGTTTTCTTCAGAGATGAATACACTCGCTGCAGCATTTATTTCTGTATAATCCTTCTCATCAATAACACATTACGAAACATTAGGTTGTTTAAATGTACTTCATACTCTCAGTCGATAGCCTCTGGCCTCTCCGAGACCTCCAAAAAAATCTTCCCTGGTAATAAAAATCCATTTGTTTTGATTCCTGTTCCATGATTTATGGGACGGCTGGGATGTGTGTGCCCTGTATTCGCCTATTAAGTGTGAGAAATGAGTCAAAATGTTGAATTTAGCAGTGAGATAACCTTTGAGAACAGTTGCCGCTGAATGATGTGGGTGGGGGGAAACCAAATGGGTAACGCATTCCAATTCCTCAATGTCTCCTCTCCATGTGTCCTTGAGGAAAGACTCTGGATCCCAAAGCCCTGGAGTTAAGGACCACACTCGTACTGTACAGCTCACAGATGTGTAAAATTCAAATAACTGTACAATAAAACTTGAGGAAAGTCAAGAAAATCCTCTTTTAATATAACAGTTAATGCCCCTTGGCTGTCAGAGGAAGTTGACTTGCAGATAAAACAGAAAATCATGAGGCCAAATGTGAGTCTTGATCAATATCATAAATGCTGTTTGCCTCTGTGAATGGCTCTTTTATCTGCGCCTTGGAGCACTGGGATATCCTTCTTTTGAAATGACTCTTGGCTTGCTCATATTGACAGATGGATGCCAATAATAGCCCATCGGCAAGAATAATGCTGTACTTTATCTACAATCGAGATGCAATAAGAGGTGAAGCAGCTTGGCTTGTTTTGCAGTTTCCGAGAAAAAAATGGGTCGACTGGTGTTTATCTGGAATCTCCCTCCTCCCAGTACACTACAAAACTGGTCAAATATCTCCTAAACTGTGACTCACTTGTCTATCTGCCCAAAGAGAAAACATAGTACTCACAGCTGCCGGACAAAGAGGGCTCTATGATGTGGTGTTAAAGTTGAGTTTACCTGTCTTTGTTAAATTGCACAAAAAAGTTTTTTTCTACAATTCATTTAGCAGACGCTTTTATCCAAAGCGACGTACATCAGAGAGTTAGAACAACACAAGCAAGGATCTAGAAAAAAGGAAACAATGTCAGTGAGAGCAAACAAACAGCTTTAAGTCTGAATGGACACACAGATGCCAACACAGAGAACGTGAACAGCTGTTCTTGAGAAGCTTTTTATTGGCAGAGCTTCGAGGGCGTGAGAGAGTGTAGACCTGGATGATAGATTTCAAGTACGAATAAGCTGTTTTTGTAAGTGAGCAGCAGGACTCTAAATATGATACTGACCAACAGACTAACCAACTTTGAAATCCCATAAATAAGACGACTAGCTGAGAGAAATACTTTGTATAGTGGATTACTGGATGTTTGACATGAATACAATCACTGTTTGCAACCGGCAAACAGTAAAGAGTAATAAATTAGTAAAGTTGGTAATTGGCAGTGTTGAGCTCAATTAAAACAACATCTTGTTGTTTGGAGACTGGTCAAACCTTGACTTATAATCAGAGTTCAGGCGGTGATCTTTGTGAATGTTGAACATATTATAGTAAAGTTTAAGCTGAAGGTATAACACCTTAGGTAAGATTCTCCCTTCTCCCCAACAGAGAAGTAATGCCACTTCATCTGACTGTCACACATCAGTTGATAGATGGCCAAAGTAGTTTTCATTATCATTGATTGGCTCTACTTTAAAAACTGCACTTTGCTCCTGCTGCATTGTTATCTAGTCTAGTCTGTTCTACTGCTCTGATCCAGTGACACTGCACAACTCGCTCTTTATGTCTCAATTAATAGGACGTATCCCTCTGCTTCATGCTTTTCGGTGATGGTGTGTAATGTGATCATGGGCACATTTTTCCTGCGCCTTTCTCTTGTATTGAAGAGGGGAAAATGCACATGTGCAACTTATAAAGAGACTCAACAGAGGCCCAGGACTGTAGCGTTAGCGCCCAAGATCGTAAACAAGTCTCCAATCAGTAACTTTAGACATGAAGAACATACATAAGACTACATTTTTATAGCATATTATACATTTAACTCAACAAGTGCATAGTATTTACCTGATCAGTTTTAAAAATGCACATGTATATTCTATTTCTAATTTCAAACTAATTTAAAAAATCTTTATCAGTGAAGGTTTGTCATCATTCTCCTTGTGGGGAGTTGTGGGGCAGCACCCTATAGCGCCCTCTCTTGACTAGACGATAATGGTTACATATGGGTCCATGAAATGCTGAGTTATTACACACAGATTAGTCTATTCAAGGTGACCATATAATCATCTCACTAAATGAAAACAAAAAGATTTGTACTGTGGAATACATTTCAAACATTTGTTGGTTAAAGCCGACAGTCAAATTATTTTTTTCTCACTGACTCGTCAAACTTATTAGACCTGGCACATTTTAAGCTGAGAATTACTCAGATAAAACTGCACCATGGAGAGCTCAGCTTTACTATGCAGTCCTTTAATCACAATGATGGCCGCTGTTACTCAGTTAGCATTGCTGCTCTGTGTATTTGGGACTCTGGCAGACTGGAGCTGAACCCACAGTGATGTGATTACAGCAGCGTAGAGCATCCAAAGAAACATCAAGGCAGAGGTGAAGCAGCTGAGAGACACGCTTATTAGACACAAGAAGGAGCCGGAAGCAACCAAAGGCAGAACTTGACACCCAGAGGACCCTGCTAAGGTGACCCGAGGAGAAGATTCAGACCCCCACTTCAGGGTTAGGAGACAGAAATTGAAATGCTGGAGGGAACCGTCAAATTGGAGATGGTTCAAAAAGAAGCAAAGATGGGAAACACTGCAGGAAAAAAGTGTCCTTTTCTATTTCTTAAAACTGCATGGGTGGAAAAATATATGGAGCATTCAACACACTTTGATTAGTTATCTGCAAATAAGACTGCAATTAGTCACAATGATGGTCCCTTCGCAATTAAATACAGATTAAAAAATTTAATACAAATTTAAATACACAAATAAAATAACATACAGCATCCTTGACTTACACCACACAAGGCCTGCTGGGGTTTGAGGAAATCACATGCAGCATTAAAAGCTTTACATGCGTGTATATATTACACTTAAATGTAATAGAAATCAAGTATATCCTCTGAAAATAACTCTGTGAGTCATGACTGTCTACAATGGGTGTAACACCTGAGTCCCACTGTCTGTGATGTTTTCAGAGTTTTCAGAGTCCCCATCCTCAAGAAACCTGGACTCAATACGGACAGCATGTGCAACTTCCGCCCCATCTCCAACATCCCCTTCCTCTCAAAAATACTGGAACGTGTTGTCGCCTCCCAGATCAAATGCCACCTCTCCTCCAATAACCTATTTGAACCATTCCAGTCCGGCTTCCGTTCCCAGCACAGCACAGAAACAGCTCTCCTCAAAGTCACCAACGACCTCCTCCTCTCCTCAGACTCTGGCCTCCTCAACATCCTTATCCTCCTCGATCTCACTGCAGCCTTTGACACCATCAGCCACAATATTATTGTATCCCGCTTAGAACACTCACTCAACATCACTGGCACTGCTCTTTCCTAGTTAAAATCCTACTTCACCGACAGACAACAGTTTATCAACATCAATAACTGCTCCTCCTCCATAGCTCCTTTGTCCCAAGGCGTCCCCCAGGGTTCGGTGCTTGGTCCCCTCCTGTTCATCATATACTTGCTCCCCCTTGGTAACATTATCCGCCAGCATGGTCTCCATTTCCACTGTTATGCCGATGACATCCAGCTCTACATCTCCACCAATTCAATCACCACTGAAACCTGCTCTACCCTAAATCCCTCACTAATTCCATTCACAACTTCTCCTTCACAATAGACAACTCCACCCTCTCCCCCTCCCCTCATATCCGCAATCTTGGAGTCATCTTTGACAGCCAGCTCTCCTTTGACCGCCACGTCACCCAGCTCACAAGAACCGTCGTCTTTCACCTCAAAAATATAGCCCGCCTCCGTCCACTACTCTTATTTTCTGCTGCTGAAACACTAATCCATGCATTCATCACATCCAGACTTGACTATTGCAACAGCATTCTTTTCGGCACATCATCTGAAGTCCTTAATAAACTTCAATACATCCAAATCTCTGCTGCACGCCTCCTCACCCACACCCGAATACACGAACACATCACCCCTGTCCTGCATAATCTCCACTGGCTCCTTGTCCCTTACCGTATCCAATTCAAAATCCTTCTCCTCACACATAAAGCCCTTAACCAACAGGCCCCCCTCTTACCTCACGGCTCTCCTTCACCCTCACACTCCTGCACGCAGCCTCTGTTCCTCAAAAGCCAATCTCCTATCTCCCCCTCTTAGAACCAAGCACCGAACCTGGAGGAACAGAGCCTTCTCCATAGCTGCCCCCTCCCTCTGGAACTCACTCCCTACACACATTCAACACTGCACCGACCCTCCTACTTTCAAATCACTGATCAAAACTCACCTCTTTAAACAAGCTTTTAATGTATGATTGTGATGTCTTTTCTGTTTTCTGTGGTTTACCTTTATTGTTGTTATCTATATGATTTGTGTGTAATGTTGCGATGTCCGTTAGTCTGTCCTTACTGTGCTGTTTTAACTATTGTAAAGTGTCTTTGAGTTTTTAAAAGCGCTTATAAATAAAATGTAGCTGCAGCTTTAGAAAACTGAATTTAAAACCAATGTTCTCTGCACAAAATTAAGACAAGGATGGTCTGAAGAGACGAAAGGGAAAAAATCTGAACCTTTAAAGCCAGTTTCTCCCATCAATCAAGAACCAAGAAGCCTACATGTAGTTTCTTTAAACCATGTGTACGAGGTGGAAGTTCACTTGAAGTGTGACAGAACTTGGAGCAGAGTATAAAGCTGCTGCTGCTCGGGCCTCTAATTAGCTGCACATAATGTACATTAAGGGCAACAGCCAGTGATGGAGGTTAATGGTGTAACATGACATGCTGGTTGTAAGGGAACTGTGTCGACTTAATCTTACAGTGCGCCTGAATCTTAAAGTACGGTTTCCTCCATCACACTGAATTGTCAGAAAATTAAACATTACATTTATTAATGAATTCAAGGCCATAATTAGAGTGTAGATGGAGGCAGTGCATGTCCACATAATGAATTTAGTGCCCCTATTTAATTTTCCTTTGGTTACGTGCTCATTGTCTGAACAGGATCTCATTAAAAGTTGGCAGCAAGTTCATAAGATTTCGAAATGGTTGTTGAGCTTTTTCATCCAATACCCGTTTTAATAATAGCTATTATTAATAGTTAATTGTATATATGTTGTGTAATTTATCAAAGTTAGTAAATCAGAACTCTTATTTAAGTTATTAAATATATAATAAGGTGAACAAAGAACACATTTTCAGGTCCAATACCGATATCGATACTAGGGAGAAAAAAAATGTGATACCAATAAATCGGTCAATATGTTTTTTAGATCTATGTTAAATCTGTAGATTTTGATCTCTGACCTGGTGCATTTAATTATGGGTAACAGTACATGACATTAGTGAGTCAGTACAACATCTGGGTATTTTGGCATACTGCGCAACTTGAATTTCTTTGCATAATGCACACTACATTTTGACCAAATCAGTACGTACTATCAGTATAGTAGGCGGTTTCCAAAACAGCCATTGTCTTACTGAAATAGGTAAGGCCTTCCTTGAAAAAGAAGTTCCCTTTTTTGCAGCATATGTTGTTCTGAAACATGATTTAATAATGGTGCCTTCAAATGTGTAGGTTGCCTAAGTGTGCGCTGACAACAAGTTGGATGTTCTCTGTCCTCTGTGCAGAGAATGGGGCGTCCAGAATAATCAGACAGGAAGTCATAAGTTGCATATTTTACTACTTATTGAGAAAGTAGTTGACCATACCTTTGGTGAAAGGTGAAAGGCATGCGTTTGATTTGTATACAAAGCCATATATATTTATATATGCTGCCTTGGAGAGAAGCAGATGAAAACAAACCAAACAAAGGAATCACAAATATTATAAAAAGTCAGAGTAAGAGTAATATTTCTAGACCCTATACAACAAATGAGTTGTAGGATCCCCCTTTAACATGCTATGAATATATCAAGATAAATAGAGAAAAAGGGTCACAAACAAAGAACTCGACTCCCCTCCTTATCACTTACACATTGGTAAATCTGTAAAAAAAAGACCAACACTTTCTAATCAGAGATTCATCCCTAAGTTTGTATATAAATGTGAATGCAGGGAGCTCACCATGCGGATCCATCTGGGCATATGGTGGGTGTTGGGTGAGCGGTGATGCAAGTTAAGGACAACCACGCTGAGGATGACGGAAAACGTGACCAGGATCATGGTGAACATGATGTAGTTGACGATCATGGGGACGCCCAGGGAAGTCTCGGGGATCTTATCGGCCAGCAGCAGCAGAAACACAGTGAGGGTGAGCAACACGTTGATGGACAGACCCATCTTCTCTCCTAGTGGGGAGAAAAAATAACAAATTACGACCAAATTTTTATTTCAGTGCAATACTGTTCAACTCTTAAGATCATTTTAAAAGATCTTGGGGCTGAATATATATTCAAGTTGAGGGAGAAACGATTACAGTGTGTTCTTAAAGTCTGTTTTATCAGGACACGCTTTGTCCCTCCTCTAACTGTGAGAGAGCTGCAGCTGTTCCATGCAATTCACCAGTAATGACACTAATGGAAAATTCATCTCCTGTTGTAAGTGAAGCTGATTGGTCAGTAGAGCAAGCTCTCCCAGGTGTATTCAGTGGTCACTTACAAAACTGTGTTTACCTCTGATTGGTTATATTTGGTAGGGAATAAGAGATTGATGGGCATTAGGGCACTGCATGATATCAAGTAATCATCAAAGCAGAGGCACATCACGCTGGATTACCACAAAGATCAACATGCCAGCAGATCTCTGGTAATACAGCAGGAAGAACAAATGTGATTAGCCGCAAAAGTCATTAAAGAAATTGCCCATTCATTACCATTCATTTTCAGCACTTTTTTCTGTTTAAGGGGCAAGAAGCTGTATTCTGAGAAACAATTCCCCACAGTGATACACCAAAGCCTACTCTGTCTCTTTTTATGATGAGAAAAATGATAAGTGGACTGGACCTTCCTGTCTGGATCAAACTGTACTTAACAATCTTAACCATTTCCTTTTTTTTGGTTTGGATGTTTGAAAGTAAGGTTGTAAGAGGTTCTTGTTAATTGTGAGTGTTTCAGACACAGGAGATGACAGTCAGCTTGGCCCCTTTTATTGTGAACCGGCCGGAGTGCCATCACTGAGAGTCAGTTTTACGACATCATTTAGCTACTTTTCATATGAAAAAGACGTTAAAGGTCCAACATGTAAGATATCTACTGAATTAAATTATAAAATATATTATATGATCAGACATTAAGGAAACATGCTATGTTGAAGTGCTGTCTTCTCTGACAACAATGCAGCAGCCAGTATGTCCTCCCTCTCAGTTTAGAGTCCTGTGTGGAATGGTTTGTTTTTGTTTTGACCAGAGAAGTATGTGGCATCCCCACACAGCCATATTGCCTCTCAGGTTGCCAGGCAAAACCAACAGGTGTTGCAGCGATGCAAGTGGGCAAGCAAACTGGTTCAGATATAAGTGATTTTTTTCCCTGAGAATCAACGTTGAGTTCTTACACCAGTCAAAGATTTAGACAGTTACCGACCTGCTGCAGAGCTCAGGTGAAAACCTACAGACTGAAAGAATTCATTTACACAAAAATGATTTGAGAGGAATCTTGTTTGAACTTGTGAGTGTGATCAAAGTGCAGTCTTAAGCTGATAACGGTCAATATGTGATAGGGTGATTTCTATTTCTTTTTATTTAGGAGTTTATTGATTTAGCCAATTAACTTTCTAATCTGAAACTGAATCCCTTTGTGCCAGCAATTAAACAAATATGTGATTGCACGTTTTAACCAGGCCACACAAACACCACTGAGAAGTGGAAAATCAGCAGTTTCAGAGAGTGGGCAGTATAATGCTTATCAAAGCAACATCAAACATAAACCATAAGCATTATCAGTCACCCACAAAACCAACAGAGCTGTAAACATCTTCACGATCTGACCACATTAAACCAGCTTGTATTGATTTGTCTTCATTGTTGATATACCTGCATCAGGAGGCAGGTAGAAGTTAAAGATGGCAATGATGGTGATCAGGATGCAGGGGAGGATGATGTTAAACACATAGTACATTGGCTTCCTCTCAATGATCAGGTAGAAGGTCATGTCCTCGTAATTATCGTCATTCATGTTCTTTCTGCTCGGTTTGTGTGTGATGTGCCACTCGCCTCCCTCTGCAGAGATATTTGAAGGATTTAGAAAAAGCAAAATGATGACTTTTGATAAAAAAATGCAAACAAATAAAACCCTCCTTTGACAATGGCTGAAGTATTAATCCACCCCTGTTGAGTGTTTCTCACCACTGTAAGCTTCGTCCAGGATGATCTCCTTGATCTCCTTGCCTTTTGAGTCCAGTGCGTATGAATGTCGATCTCGGTCGAGTCGTAGGTGTACGAGCGAAACTGCATGGTGCAGTTCTGCCAGTCAAATGGAAAATATTTCACCTGGATACAGAAAAAAACAGGAAGTGTCAGAGCGGGATGAGCCAGGTTAAAGTTGATATGGATGTGTTGTTGTTGTTCACCTCCACTCCACATGAGCTGAGGTAGAGTGCAGGGGGAGTCCAGGTCACTCTGCCATTATGATAAACCTGAACGTGGACGTGCAGGGCCACATCAAACGTCCCATCGTTACTGCAAAAACATTTCAAAATAAAACATCAAGTTCCTTTCTTATTCCTGTATGATGCTGTCAGCAGAAGAAAAAAAAAAAATTACATTGTAATGATCTAATTTCTTATACAGGTTGTAAATTCTTTACCATCTCTTCCACCAAACTTTCTTGTGGGGCAGATCTTCTTTCAAGCTATTTTTCTATATATGTCAATCATTGCCTTACTTGAAAATCATTTTTCCATGAAACAGGAAGTAATATTTCTCAGGGGCTTAGAACACCTAGTAAAGCCATGAAAGCTGGTCAAATAAAGCCATTGGCAATAGGGGATGATGAAAATTCAGCCCCCGCAGCACGTTCAACCTAGGATTTCGAAAATTAGTGGGCATATGTATCTTTCCAGGACCTAAAAAATATCATGGATGGACTGTAAACAATGATTCACATGCAAGTCTTGGCCGTGACATCCTTTTGCTTTTCCAAAAATGAGCATGCGAAACCAAAAGCCCCCCAACTATCGCACATTTTACAGACAACAGAACGGATCAATAGCTGAAATTACAGCTAAATACAGTGTCCTTACACAATTTAACTTTGGTGAGCATTTTAAGTTTTCAGAAACTCAGAGAAGCCAAAAAAAAAAGCTAAGTGACCAGTGGTGCTGATTAATTCATGCCTCTCTATGAGTGCAGTGCTTGGGCTTACTTATTGATGAGGACAATGTCAGGCAGCCAAACCTTCCCAGAGGGGATGCGCAACACATCAACCCCATCATTCTCCTTGGGATTCCAACTCAACCGATAGTCTGTCCATTCCTGTCGAAACATTCAAAATTGTTTGCGTCGGTGTTTTAACAGGAAATTTCACAAAAGAGCAGGGACAGGAGAAAAACAAAGAATGACAGAAGGAGGAAACTGCATTTACAAATGTAACCAATTTGTCATTTCATCAGTGTATTTGTAATTTTTCCACTGCTGTAATGAGATTCTACAGGAATGATTCCCCTGTGCATTTCTCCTTGCATAACGAAACACAATTTGCATAATTTTTCATTTTGCATGTACTCTGTAGTATTAAGACTTCTCCAAGTGTTCTCCTTTTCTTATTTGTTTGCTGTATTAGCACTGAGCTGCACATGAAGAAGGAGGTCTGGTGTTAATGCAGTTATTTAGTGGAGCTGGAGTCATGGTTGACTCGGTTAGAATGACATGAAAATGTAATAAGGGATTCAATTATTGAAGACAGTGTTGTGGGCTTGCCTCCGAGCAACTTTCTGTTTGAGTAAAGCAACAAGCCACTGACTGATCACTCACTGGGTGTTTGCAAATACAAGAAATGTACTCCCACTGCAGACTCAAACCAATGTGTAGCCTCAGTGGAACAAAGCATGGAAGGAAAACCGCTACAAAGTGTGATGATGTGATGAAACCAAAACATACATACCAGATTCATGACAACAATGGTGCTCATTTCTTCATTCTTCATATTCTGAAAGAAATATAAAGAAACATATTTGTTACTGACACTACTCGTAGTACCCTGTGTGCTCAGAAGAAGACATTCAATTTGGGGTTTACTTCACCAAATACTTCCTCCTCCCGAACTTATTCATTTGTAGAATCTTTTTAAAACAACATTAAAGCCATGAATTAAAAAAAAAAACAGCAAATGGTAAATGTACTTGAGCTTGTATAGTGCTTTTCTTGTCTTCTGACTCAAAGTGCTTTTACATCACATGTCACACCTACACATTCACACACTGATGGTAGAGGCTGCTATGGAAAGTGACCATCAGAAGAAACTAATCCCATTCATACACCACTGACAAAGCAGTGGGAGCAATTTGGGGTTAAGTGTCTTGCCCAAGGACACATCGGATATGTAGCTGCAGGAGCTGGGGATTAACCCCCCGGCCAACTGAGCTGACAACAACCAGCCCAATATTTAACATTGTCTATTCAATCTACCTGTTAAAGTGAGAGCCTTTGCCAGTAAACACCTGAAGTTTTCATTTTGAAATGTTTTTTACAGATTCATGCATATGTGACAGGATAAGGAAAAGACAATGCTTGTGTGATATTTGGCAGCTGGGATATAAAAGAGATCTTAGGGATTATTTTCTTCTCAGGCTTTTTAATTGAATCACTGATGATTTTAAAAACACTTTTCTCGTATTAATGACCATCATGACATGAGGCTGAATGATGTCAGCTTCTTACATGTGGTCTGCGTGAACACATTTCTTTTTAACTTTTCTTCATTCTGTCAATGGATGTTACAATATTTATGACAAAAACTACACCAGGACTTCAAACTAACACGCTTGAAATACAGCCTCCTCTTGTTGATAGTAGCTTGAAACCAGAGAACTAAACAGCTGAGCGGTATGTTTGACGGACATGGACACACACCACAGAGTTCATGATGTAAGATTCGGGAAGGATGTTTGTCTGGACACTCACAAATCCACATAAGTGTGCATCTGTGTGTGTAATGTGTATCTGTGTGCATGTGGTTGTGTGTTAAGCATGAAGGTGGAGCTTCCCTGAGCCCGGCCTGCTATTTAAAACACTTGGAGGAATGTCAGCGAGACAGCTGGGGCAGGGACACAGAAGGGGGGGGGGGGGGGGGTAGGTGGGGAGGGAACCAAGTCTCTCTCTCTCTCTCTCTCTCTCTCTCTCTCTCTCTCTTTCTCCCACCTTCATACAAACACACAAACCTTCCTCATCACTAACTCATACTTCCTGTAACTGTTTGAACACACCTCCGGTTGGGGGATGGTAATAAGAACAATGCTGTTACACAGCTGAATAGTTCTGGGCAGAGGCGGGGGCCGCTGAGCATCCAAGTGGGTCAGTTCTCAAGATCGTTCCACTCCAGAACTTATCGGCCCCATGTGACTTCCTCTCCGGAGTGGGAGTGACCTTGAGTGGCTGCGTAAGGAGCATGCTCACTGTAGCTGTGTATGTAAATGTGACAATGTGTTGGCGTGTGCATACAGTACATGTGCTGCAGGGAGAGGCCAAGGGGAAATTAAGAAACAGATGAAGTGACCTGGTGTGTGCATGTGTGTGTGTTTGAGTGTGTGTGTTATTGTGAGTTTTTCTGTAATGCAGTCAGAGGCAGTCAGTGCCTGCTGTTAAAAAGCATTTCCCAGTGTTTCACAAAAGTTGCATGACTCTTCGTTTCATTTTATCTCAGTAGCCCAAAGCAGACTTCTGGAGCAGACACCTCCTGGATACATTTGAATTAAAAACCTTTTGTGCTATATTTTATTGCTAAAAGGGCTAAATGTTGTCATCCTGTCATGTGGGACGTCTGGGAGTACATTGGTCCTCAGCATGGGGATTGCTTAAAGTTTTTATAGAGACATCTGTCAGTGGGAATCAGTCTGGATATTTAAATATGTATCTATCAGAGACAGCGCTGTTCCTGAGGCGGAGGAGCCTCAGATGTTACAGTAATGAAACCCAGAGAAATGTCAGTAAAATGTCAAGTCATAAAGGAGGAGAATCATTGGAGATGCAGGAGTCCTGGAAGGTTTCTGTCACATGAATCTCAATCTGAAGGCTCACATAAACTAACCTGCTTATAGTAGAAATGTCTGACTTCAACAGCAGGGCTAACATGATCTTGAATGACACAAAAATGTAAAATCTAACACGTTTTGTCCCCTTCTTAAATTTTAGATCACAGGGTTTTCCACAGTTACTGTTTTTGAATGGTTGCCTATTAGGACTTCCCCCCTCAGGGTGGAAAAAAAGGAAGGCTCGTACTTTGTCAGTTAATCCTCTTTCCTGTGTTGTTCAGGCCGCCTCTCTGATTGTACACAGAGTAATGCATGAGGAACAGCAGGCAAGGATACAAAATTTACAAAACAAGTCTCAAAATGTCCTTTCAGAATTGATTATTAACAAGGATTTAACCACAAACCAGATTACCCATAGTCCCCGTGCCCCAAAAGCAGCAAATGGAGCCTTCATGTTAACAAAAAACAGTTCATGTAAAGAAACAGTCTCTAGAGCCGTGGGAGGTAGCAAGCTCAGCTGCATTTGGTTCAATATGCAGAATTTTTACTGAATTAATTCAGAAAATGACTATATCATCAGACATTAAGGAAACATGCTATATTGAAGTGCTGGCTTCTCGCCCCTCGGTTTTCCAGGCAAACGGCAAACCAACAGGTGTCTCAGCGATGAAAGCCATCAAGAGAACTTGTTCAGATAGAAGTGAGTGTACCCGACCTTAAAAAAGCATTTTCTAATAAGCTCCACGAGCAGAAATGTGGTGACACTAGGATAAAAATGTAAAATGCTTTAAAAAATGGAGAGAGGTTAGAACACAGAAAAGGTTTAAAGACTGATGCAGAGCTGGATAAACACTGAAGCTTCAGTGTCTGTAACATGGCAGCCTGAGTGCATATCGACTCTAGGGAGGAGGAGTCGGGGGTAGGCAGCTCTCTCCAATGTTTAGAATTGAAACTGCAGTACCACTTCTAAACGCTAGGTGTCAGAGTTACATACTGCTCCTTTGATTATAAACAGTAAAAAAAAAACATTATTTATAACAAACACTGAGAAAAACTTTATTTGGATAAGGTTTGGTTGACAGCCAGCTCTTTTGGAAAACTCTGATTAATGTGAATCAGTCAGCTTAAACATTAGACATTTTATGCTAAGAAAGGAGTTTGGTGTGGTACTGAATTTGAATAAAGAACAAATAATCTATTCTACCAAAAGGATGTCTGAGTTGGGTTCAGAGTATGGAGAGCAAAACAACAAGGAACAGTTAATAGTGCTTATAAGCTTTGACGCTGTTATACCTGTGTTTGCAGCCTGTCCCTCCTGAATCCAACATATATCCAAAAGAGCAGTTTTTTTTCCATCACTGAATTGGGACCAAATATTCTGATCCAGTTTGAGATTTATCTGACTGCATCAACATCGTGTGAAAGCATGGCTTTTCTACAACAGGCTTTCAACCAAGAGTTCAAATGTTTGCATGCTGAGTTGGAAAACAATGCTTGTTTAAAAAGTGTCTAATTTTAAAATCAAATCATGCATCTGCAATGTTTTTTATCGACAATGTTCATATTGAGATAACAATGAAATTGCTATATGCAGTCACTGTCACTACGATGTAGGCTTGCTGAGGTAGTGGTATTGGATCAATTCTATTACCCACACACACATTATTTTGACCTTTACAGCCCTTTAACTAAGAGATGTAAAAAGAACTTTATCCCTTTATTTCACTTTACAAGCTGCCTTTTTATACTTATACTACACATCTGGCAATCTAACTGTTTCCTCATTGTCTGGTTGTTTTTGTCATTTGTAAAATATGTGTTAGGGTTTAGTGCCTCACCAGTCCAACGAAGGAGGAGAGGACCATACCGATACGAACCACCACCCTCTTTTCAGGGCTTTCTGCCGGCCGCACCTTGAGGTTGTAGTTGGTAAAAAGCTTCTTGATCAGAGCCTTCTCGACCTCAGTCGCACCTGAAAAACATGGATAGATGGATTATATCACATGAGCAGTTCTAACTTCAGCTAGATGCATCCATTGCACACAATCTTTTTTAATTCAGCCAAATGATGCAGACACTGCATTGGCCATTCTCTTTCACTGATTATTATTCACACCCAAACACTTTCAACTAAAGTTTCTGCTGGGTGCTCTCTGCAAAACCCATCACACTGATGACACATGGGGCTGAGGCTTATAGACTGGCAGCTAAGGTGTGCTGTGCATTCAGATACGAGTAACAATGAGCCCTCTAGCTCAGGAGCTGAGTCAACAGAGCACAGTGAGCAGATGCTTCACAGAATGAGTTAATACAGAAGACTGTTGCACAGCAGGAGATAGCCAGATTAGCTGTGGCTAGGTAACAAAAAGGTAATAAATCAAATGTGTAGAAATGAAACAAACTCCTGATCCTTCCTAAATGGAAAACACATAACATTTACTGCAAAGCAAACATTTAAACCTTTTATATCGTCAGCCTTCCTGAAACTGCAATTGCAAAAATAATGATTATGGTCAAAAGAATCCTTGTATACAATGTGTCAACACGTATCTGCAGATAAATCAGTAGAAGTTATTTGAGCTAGAAATATTTAAAAATTGTTCGATAAAAGTTTGAGACATTTTAACCTGTAATTACACAACACAAACACTAGGGGGGGGGGGGCGCTAATGCACCTTTAACGCTAATTGCCAACTGTCAATGTTAGAAAGACAACTAACAGCCAATCATGTCGCAGGGATTTGAGAAGGCAGGCTTACAGACGTTTGGAGGGGAATAGAACCTTTCACTCAGGAGCAAAAATTTACATTTGTAGAAATAATGATTTCACATTTGTTGTGATAATTATCTATCTCGACTGATTTTAATTTTTCCATCATGATAAAATGTTTGGTCATATTGCTCAGGCCTTACATATACTGCAGCACATACTAAAGCCATGTACCACATGCCAGTGTATTTGCTGCAGACTTTCACTCACATAAGTGTCTTGCTAAAGGCCTTCAAAGGTTCTGAACCTACCAACCCCTCAAATGCTTACATTCTTCCACATATTTAGTTTTACCTCCACCCATTTTTCTCTCCAGTATTGGAAGGTTAAAAGCATTTATAAAACAGCGGCTCCGCTGACGCGACATTCATCACATTTGGCGTAGCTGTGGGCCCGGCAGGATCTGACCTGACAGGAATAAATGACAACGATCACCAAGCAAGGCACCTCCATTAGCTAGGCACAGGGAAGCGTGGCCGCTGATGGGCCAGGCTGTTGTCAGTAGCTGGAATTCAGCATTTTATTCCCTCAAATGATTTGGTAAATAAGTCAGACAAAAGGTACATAAAGATCAGGGGAGGTTATGTTCAAGGACGCTGCCATGGAATATAACAGACAGCAATTAAATACAGAGGCAAATTTGAAAAGCAATTTGAACGCCTTCTTCTTCTGGAGACACTTTGATAAAAGACCCAGAAGGAGTTATGAAAATGGTACAGTTCTCTCAGCCCTTTTATGACATGATAACTTCCCAGAGCACAATGAGTGCACTAGTAGAGAAGAGATGAACACAATATTAAAGCTGACAATGCCGGGAGTAAAGTTTTATAAGAGCTATGACTTTCTCTGAGTGGTTTCAGTTCCCTTTTTTTTCCTTACAGGAACCAGTGGTCAGTGAGAAAATCAACTGCTGTATGGATTTCTCTGAAGAAGTTACCACTCAGCTGATGATGATGATGGTTTATCATTCAAGTGTGGACTAATGTTTTTGACCACTGAGAGAAGTATTTTCCTTAACCCTGCCTTTGTTTTTTGTTTTTGCAAATTCATCCAAATGCAGACCCAATCAACATTTTACCATAATTTTAATGTTTTGAAATTTTAATTGTCTGGAACATTTTTATCAAACATCAGATTTTGTGAGTAACTGAACTTGTCCGTAGTTCCTTTATGGTGGCTTCCGGTGTCACTCTGTTTGACTTTAGGTAATGTTTAGTGTTTCATGTGACACTCTTCATGTGATATTAGTTTAGCATTAATACAGGAATTACACCATTATAACCAAAACTCAATAACATGTGAATATTGTGCCAGCTCGTGTCTTACCTCCGAAGGTGCTCAGGCAACAAAGGCAAGAAGCCAGCAGGATCAGGTTCAGGCTTTTCATTTCGACCCTCCACCAGTCCAAACAAGATCTCTCCTCTTCAAAACAGATTCTCTTTGATTAATCCAACGTGTTTTCTTCTTCTTTTTTTCTTTCCAGCGCAGCTCTCTGAAACTTCCCTCTGTAAGTTTGGTTTGTTGAGTTTGGACTGTTGTTGTCTGTCAGTCAGGCCGGGCAGGCCAACTGCTGTGTGCTCCGATTACATCCTCAGGGGGGGGGGGGGGGGTTCACACGTCACCCCCTCGGCCAGTGTGGAACAGATTTTACTCTACCCAGTGAGGGTCTATTGACACACAGCTTGTTCTCAAACTGTGGCAGAGGTACCCACTCGCAGGTCTTCAAAAAACAGAAACAAAGGTCAAATTAAATTAAAGACTTGTGTGATACAAGTGAGATAAGCAATTTATACATTTTCAGAAGGGGAAATAAAAAACAAAACAGCCTATTGAAACAAAGCTGTATATTTAATATAGAGGAGATGCCTATAGCGCCTTTTAAGGGACCCGAGGGTGCTTTACATAAAGAAAAAAAAAAACAACACATTTAACTGAGTGCATAAGCTGAGCTGAACAGGAGTGTTTTTTTTAATATGTCCAAGGATGTAGCATTGCTGATAACCGCCAGGAGAGAGTTCCAGAGGGTGGGGTCTGCCTCACTGAAGGCTCTGCCCCCGTGAGTCCGCAGGTTGTTGTGGGGAATGGAGAGCAAACCAGTGTCCGAGGATCTGAGGTTCCAGGTCAAAGTTTAGGAGGTCATAAAGGCAAATTCCACTCCAAAAAGTATTTTATTGTCACATTATTCTTTAATAAACAAAGAATAAATCCACGATGCACCACAGAACGACACAGGAGGTCATTCCTGCCTGTGGCCATCAAACTTAATAACTCCTCCCTTTAAGAATCACACACCCAGACACTGGATTATTAACCTGGACATATTTATTTAACCTGGACAAATATATTTAACTCTGAAACTGTGCAATCTGTCTGCAAACTGGTCAATACACTGTGCAATATATGCTTAACACAGTTCATCTTGTACATTCATAATGTAAATATTGCTTTATCTTGTATCCTATTATTGTAGCCCTACTTGGTACTTATTGCTTATTTTATTATCTCTATTTTATTTGATTTCCTACTGCTGTTTTGTGTGAAAAGCAATGGTAACACTGAATTTCCCCCTTGGATTAATAAAGTATTTCTGATAAAACATTAAATTACAGTATGATCTAAAGTGTATATTTGTGCTCGGGCAGAATTTAGAGCAAAATCTTAACAAACATAGAAGTGCTGTAATGACATGGACTATAACTATATGTAAAGTGCACAATTGTGCCTGACCTGAATTCACAGCACCCACAGTGCCCCCAGTGGATAGGGGCATCGTTACAATGAAAAAAATCAATCTCAGGATTTTCCTGAATCGATATTGAATTGGGAAAATAATAATTGCAATTCATTGACGAATCGATATTCTTAACCAGCCCGAGGGCTTTTGGCTTTTAAATTCTAAAAATTCAAAGCAAACTCCTGCACCGTCTAAATTGCACAAATATGTTGGTAAGGGATAAAAAGGAAATGTAGACAGTGCTCTCTCTTTTGTTTTAAGTATGACTGAATATCTTTAGTTATTGAAAATCTTGATGCAATGATCATTATTACTCTCACAGAGATTGTGGTGGAATCAAAAAGTAGTCAAAGTCAACTTTATTGTCAATTTCAAAATATGCCAGACATCAATTCAGTTCAATTCCAAAAACTTTATTTGTCCCCGGGGGGCAATTCAAAGGCACACAGAGCAGTAAATGCTCTGGAGTTGAGGAGCTGGACAGCCCTGGGAACAAAGGTTGCTCTTCTCCTCTGTGTCCTGCAGCAGGGACAGCGAAGTCGGCGTCCTGAGGGGAGCCACTCAAACGCTGGGAAGAGAGCGTGTGAGGGTCCTGCATAATCCGACCTGCTAGCCTGATTGTCTGTTGATCATAGATCGATGTCAAAGTCCTAACAGGTAGTCCAATGATCTTAGAGCAGACTGTGACCGTGCTCTGCAGGTGGTTTCTGTTCTGAGGGTGGTGGAGTGGAACCAGCAGGTTATAGAAAATGTAATAATGCTCTCAATGAAAGAGTAGTAGAAGGTCAGAAGAATGTTCTTACTGACTCCAAAGGAATTGAGCTTCCTTAGGAGGTATTTTTGCTGCTGACATTTCCTGAGAATCTCCTCGGTGTTGGAGGAGAATTTCAGCAGGCTGTCGAAGATGGTACCCAGGTACTTAAACTCCTCTACTAGTTCAACAGGATTCCCATGGATTGTGGTGATTGCTGATGCAGCCAGTTCCCTCTGCTTGTTGGAGAAGGTCACTACCATGTCTTTGGTCTTGCTCACGTTCAGTTCGAGGCAGGAGCTGTCACACCACTCCACAAACGCCTGAAGAACTGCTCCATAGTGCTGAGAGGGGCCTGACAGCAGAGACAGGAGAACTGTGTCGTCTGCGTACTTCACCAGGTGACAGTTTGGCTGTGTGGTTCTGCAGTCATCGGTGTAGAGGATGAAGAGCAGAGGTGAGAGAACGCAGCCCTGAGGGGAGCCAGTTGAGGTGTGTTGACCAGAACTCTCTGTGATCTGTTGGTCAGAAAGTCCAATATCCACAGGATAAGCTGGTCGTTCAGATGGAAGCAAGTTGAAAGTTTGTCAGCCAGGATGTGAGGCTGCAGGATGTTGAATGCAGAGGAGAAGTCTGCAAACAGGAGTCTGGCTGAGTTGTTGGGTTGCTCCAGGTGTTTTTGAACAGTGTCTATTATGAATGTTTTTGCATCATCGACACCTCTGCCTGCATGATAAGCAAATTGTAGCGGGTCCATCTGGGAGTCGGTTTCTCTGATGATGTGTTGTTTTATGATCCTCTCCATGGCCTTCATCACCAGAGACGTGAGGGCCACAGGCCTGAGGTCATTCAGTGATTTGGCGGGGCTTTTCTTGGGGATGGGGATAACTGTGGAGTGTTTCCACAGCTGGGGGACTGTGCTGCTGTCCATAGAGCTCTGGAACAGGGTCTGAAACACGCCCCCTAGCTGCTCAGCACAGTGCTTCAGGATGCAGCCACTGATGTTGTCTGGACCAGGTGAGCTGCTCTCCCTTGTCCTCCTGAGGGCTCTCACCACATCCTCTCTGCTGAAGGTGAGTGCAGAGTCACTGGGCTTGAGCATGGACACTGTTCCTTCCAGCTGTGTGGTGTTGTCCTTCTCGAATCTGGTGTAGAATGAGTTGAGATCATTGGGGAGAGAAGTAGAGCTGCTGCCTGCAACCTCGATGGTTTTGATGTTGGTAGCAGCAGTGTTCACAGCAGCCATGTTTTTGAAGCCCTGCCAAGCTGAGCGGAGGTTCCCCTGTGTGAATTTTTCCTCCACTTTGTTCTTGTACTTGAGCTTGGCAGTTTTTATGGCATGCTTGACTTCTCTGTTTACCTTTTTTCTCCATTTCGGAGCCGGTGAAGAAGACCCTTTTCTTCTTGTTGAGGACCTCCTTGAGCTCTTTGGTGATCCAAGGTTTATTGTTGGGGTAGATTGTGACTGTTTTGGAGGGGATGATGTTGTCCACACAGAAGGAGATGTACGATGAAACAGTGTCCACATGCTCATTAATGTTGTTGGAGGTGGCTAAGAGGTTATCCCAGTCAGTGGATTCAAAGCATCCTTGTAGGGTAAGAATGCTTTCATTGGTCCACTGCTTGATGTTCTTAACAACTTTCTTAGCCCTCTTTATTACAGGAGTATATGCAGGAGCAAGCAGGACGGCATGGTGGTCAGCAGAGCCAAGAGGGGGGAGAGCAACAGATCTGTATGCGTTAGGAACTGAACCATAGCATTTATCCAGTGTCTTCCCCAGGCGGGTGCTGCATGTGATGTACTGATGGTAGCCTTTTAGTGCTTTTTCAGGAGCGCAATGGTTGAAATCGCCCAAGATGAATTTGGGAGAGTCCGGTGATATGAGTTCCAGTTTATTTAATAAGTTTGTGATGTGTTCAGTGGCTGTGGCTGCGTTAGCTCTGGGGTGGATGTAAACCAGGATGAGAAAAAGCTGTTGAAATTCTCTGGGGAGACAGAAAGGGCGAAGGGAGACAGCCAGAAGCTCAATGTCCGAGGTGCACAGTTTCTCCCTCACAACGACGGTCGAGCACCAGCATGTGTTTAACATAAAGACACATGCCACCGCCATGTTGTTTCCTAGTGAGCTCACTGTCTCGATCAAGTCTTAACAGGGGGGAGAAGCCATCAACGTGCAGCGTGTTATCATCGTCGTTCTTATTTAACCACGTCTCAGTAAAAACAAGAACAGAGGCAGTCCTGTACTCATGCATGTGGTAAATGTTGGCCTGTAACTCGTCCGTTTTATTGCGGAGGGAGCGTACATTAGCCAGGATGATAGATGGAAGCGGCCGTTGTTCACATGTCTCCCGTTTAAGCCTGGCTCTGATTCCTCCCAGGAACGTTGTTTCTGCTCGCAATCACAAACTCCCAGAGGAGCCAAACGTGCAGAAATGTCCAAAAAAGAATTTGGAAATCCATGCCAATGGTAAATAATTCCAGGGGATAAAAAATAAAAGAAAGAAAGAAAGAAAGAAAGAAAGAAGACTGCCGTGTTGTAAACAAAGAGCAGGGCTGCGAGAGGACGAACGTGGGAAAAAGAAAGTCCGCTTTGTCTGTGTAGTAGCGGTCAAAAGTTATAAAACACACTCTTCCTGTGTGTTCTTGGGAAGACCATGGAAAACAATATATCTAAAGAAAAATAAACAGTAGAAAAACGTAATAAACGCTAAATAACTGCTCTGTGAGCCGGCCGGTCTTCCGCACGAGCAGCGACCCGGAACCGGAAGGCATTCTAAATTGAACTGTGGCAATTTGATTAAGTCAAATGCCACATTGTCTGCATTAAACATGCCAACACCACCATGTTGTTGGACTTGCAATGCTGTGAAAACTGTATTACTACTATTGTACGATAAACTTCGTGGACAGCTATAAAAACTGTAACCATCAATCTTTATCATTTCTGAAGAAACATCAGGCAACCATGTTTCTGTTACAGCAATGCAGTTAAGCTGCAAATGCTGTGTACAGGCCACCAAATCTGTTAAGTGCAGAGTCAAATTCTGCA